GTGACTGTTTGTTAACTGACCAGATTACAAAAAAACACAGGCAACACCTTAGTTCATCCGCCTAATAAGCCAGTTTATCTGGTCTTCCCTGTTGCCAGCATCGCCACCTTCCACAAAATGAGTGGTCTTCTTCTTCATTCCACCTCGTGGAGAAGATAATTTGAAGGGCCACAGGAAGTTATTCACTTCCTTGAAGCGTTTTCCAACTGTATAGATCTCATGAATTAGATCCTCCATGCAGATGATGAGCACTCATCTGCATGAGATTTACCATGAGATTGAGCAACCAAGGAATTGTCCAACAAGGCAATTCTCTTCTTATTGATTTTGCCATAGCCGTGCTTGTAGATGAGCTTGTTGACTGACTTCAGGTTGGGGTACCCCCATGCAATGTATGGCTCCACAATCCTCAGCACGTTAACTGAAGCCTTGTTGAAAGATCTGACGAAAACGGAGCAGCTGCAACACCTTTCAGACCTTTGGGCTTACACCATTGATACCTCGGAATCGGATGACAAACGCCAGCTTGGGTTCTGCCAGCACATAGAAGTTTCCAGTAGCCATGCGAATCTCCATCCAGTGCATTTGCGTGTATTCCTTGTGGCAATGCTTTGCTTCTCATAGATAAGCTTCCTCCGTGCCTTCTCATAGATAAGCTTCCTCCGTGCCTTCCGCAGTGTCTTCAGTGCAAACTTTTTCCGAAAGCGCTTCACCTTCAACTCTGCAAAACTCCTTAGCTTTTTCTTAAGGGTTTCTAGCACAGCAGGAACCTTCTTTTTCTTCTTCAGCAGCTCTTATATTCTTTATGCCTCCTCTTCTGTGATGTCCCCTGAACCTTTTAGAGGGGGTGGGGTTTGAGATGGGGGTTTCTCTGTGTAGCCCTGGCTGTCCTGGAATGTTCTCTGTAGACCAGACTGGCCTCGAACTTGGAGATCCGCCTGCCTCTGCCTCCTAAGGGCTGGGACTAAAGGTGAACGCCACCACTGCCTGGATGCACTCAGTCTCAGATTCTCAGTACTATTACCAGTTATGAACATCCCTCCAATGACCTCTGTCCACACCACAAAGAAGCTTCTCTGACCAAGGCTGAGAGCAACCCAGGTCTACAAATATAAACATGAACATTTAGAAGGCAATTTGATGGCATAGTCAGTTATCAAAACAACAATAGTAGGTGCTACCCTAGGGCCTGTGACCTCCCGAGCTTTGACCAGGATTATAGTAGCAGGTATGAAACAGGCCTCTGCTATGACCAGAAATCAGTTAGTTACTCCATAACAGCCATGCCACTATCGCATCAATAGGCATATCTTTCCTGGCAGGCTGGTATTACAGCACGCAGTGCCCAGACATGGATAAGACCATTGATGTCTTTTCTCCTCAGCCACCTTAAGTCACTATGGTAACTAGTCTGTAGGGAGGAAGTTTACTGTTGGTTTGAGACTGATCTATGTTCTGCAGCCAAACTGTGTGGTATCTCCAGCAACAGGGTCTTACCATGTAGTTATGGTGGGTAGCCAAGGGCAATAGCATTTAAACAATTTGTCTAACCCCAGCAAAGAAAAGAAGCTTGCTCAAAAGAACTACTTAAATTCCGATCAGCACTGGGGGAAAAATTCACAGGTTGACTCTTAATGATCTAGAAATTTCCCTTTCCTGATTCTCTATCAGACACGCAGTGGCTTGCCAGGGATGGACACAGGGACACCCTGTTTCTGTTGGCCATGGTGCTTGCACTCCCCAGACCTACTGTCTTCGGTGTTTCCTGGATGGCTGGAAGAACCGCCCCTTTAATTTTTTTTTTTTTTTTTTTTTTTGGTTTTTACGAGACAGGGTTTCTCTGTATTGTTTTGGAGGCTGTCGGTCCAGCCTGGCCTCGAACTCACAGAGATCCGCCTGCCTCTGCCTCCCGAGTGCTGGGATTAAAGGCATGCGCCACCACCGCCCGGCCGCCCCTTTAATTCTTATTGCATGCTTACGCTAGCTCTTGACTCTGATCGCTGCCTTTGAGCTTTGTATGCTTTCTCCTTGTGCCCAGAACAAAAACCAACTTACAGCCACGCCCAATATAAGTCAGCCTTGCCTCTACCAGCTCTCTGCCTGGTAACTTTAGCCTGGTGCCTCTTCTTCTGGTCCCTGGTCTCTGCTGCCCTCTGGTGGCGATGTGCAACCGTGCCTCATTATGAGAGGCCTCAAGAGTTCCTGTTTGGAGAGTTCCTGTTTGGAAACTGCACATGTAGTTAATTTTTAACTACATTTTCCCATCTTGTTCTCTCGGCTGACTTTCCTGTCTCATTTCCTGTTTAAGGAGGAAAATGGAACACTGTTGTATGGGTTTCAAAACAACCATAGAGGCTGGTGTTTTCTTCACAGGTATTTGGTCCGTGAGAGTTAACTTTCAGAAGCATAAAATACCTGCCAGGTGTATCTATTTGAAGATAATACACCAGAATGTTTACTCAGTAGTCACCCCCTCCCATTGGTTGAGGATTGTCTTCAAGGGCATAATCTATCCTTACTTATAGCTACTCCCTATCAATCAGCTGTTTTCATCCATTTTATGTAGCTACAACAAAATGCCTGAGAGTAGGTACTTCATTTTTTAAAAAAAAGGAGGCTTGTTAGGTTTATACACGAATACAAAATGAAATCTTTAAAATTAAAAAATTTAATGAAATTAAAATTTTATATAATATAGCAAGAACTACCTTAAGGAAGGTGTCTTAGTTGGAGTTTCTATTGTTGTTATAAAATACCGTGACCAAAGCAACTTGGACAGGAAAGGGTTTATTTGGCTTACACTTTCAGATAACAGTTCATCACTGAAGGAAGTCAGGGCAGGAACTCAAACAGGGCAGGAACCTGGGGGCAGGAGCTGATGCAGAGGCCGCGAGGACTGCTGCTTACTGGCTTGCTCCTCGTGGTTTGCTCAGACTGCTTTCTTATAGAAGCCAGGACCCCCAGCAAGGATGGCAGCATCCACAATGGACTGGGCCCTCCCCCATCAATCACCAATTGAGAAAATGCCTGACAGCCAGATCTTATGAAAGCATTTTCTCAGCTGAGGTTCCCTCCCTTCAGATAACTCTAGCTTGTGCCAAGTTGATATAAAACTAGCCAGCGCAGAAGGGTTGAAAGAAGCAATATGTAGAAGAAATAGACACTGAAAGACATGAAACACCAGGATATGAGATGTGCTGACTTCTCCTGTTTGCTCTTCCAATCTGAGTGCTGTGTTCCATCCCCTCAGCACCCGTGGAGGCTGATCTGTGATAGCAGCCGTGTGCTCCTTGGCTTATTTTGCCCTGTTCTCCAGATACAGGAGAAGGAGCGAGTCCATGGATGGGAGAGTAAAGCCAGCTTTGCGATTTCTTTCAATGACGATTTGTAGTTTTCAGTGTCCTCGTGATTGCATTGCAAACACTGTACCACAAAGCCCTGAACTTTGATCCAGCACCTACATAAAAAATATACACCTGTAACTCTGGGGGTGGAAGTAGGCAGGTCCTAGGGACTCACTGGCCAGCCAGTCCAATTGAAATAGCGAGCTCCAGGTTCAGTGAGAGATCCTGTACCAAAAAAGAAATTGATGGGGATTGCAGAGATGATGGCTTAGCAGTTAGGAACACTTGTTGCTCTTCCAGAGGACCCAGGTTCCCACATGGTGGCTCACAACTGTCTGTAACTTCAGTTCAGAGAATCTGATGCCCTGTGCTGACCTTTGCAGGCATTCACGTGTGCACATACATACATGCAGGCAAAACACACACACACACACACACATAATAACATTTTTAAAATAATCAGGTGGGGGGCTGTAGCGATGACTCAGTGGTTAGGAGCACTGGCTATGCTTCTAGAGGACCCAGATTCAATTCCCAGCACCTACATGGCCCTCACAACCATCTGTAACTCCAGTCCCAGGAGACCTGACATCCTCTCTGGCGTCTGGAAGTACTGCATGTAAGTGGTACACACACATATATATAAGCAAAATACCTACGCATACACACCCATACATGCCCAAATACACAAAATAATTTAAAATTTAAATAAGATGGTGATGCAGCTGAGGAAGACACCTGATGTCACCTTCTGGCACACACACACACACACACACACACACACACACACACACACACACCAATCCCATTAGACTCACTTAAAATGTTTCCAGAATTGGAATAAAGATTCCTTTATTTAATTCCAAAGCTATAAGTGAGTTCCCCAGGTAAATATTATTCTTATAAGAGTTTCTGTAGCCATGGTGTCTCTTCACAGAAGAAAACAAAACAAAACAAAAAACTAAGACACCATACAATATCTATTTCCATTTTTTAAAAGATTTTTTATTATATATGCAGTGTTCTGCCTTCATGTATCCCTGCCAGCCAAAAGAGGGAATCAGATCTCATTACAGATGTAGTTGCTGGGAATTGAACTCAGGACCTTTGGAATTGAACTATCCCTCCAGCGCCTCTGCTTCCATTTCTATTCTTTGCCAGCTATACAGCCTGAATAAGTGAACGAATGGCATTTCTTATACTGACTCACTGGGGATATAACTGACTTTAATAAAGCTCAGCATAAACCGTAACAAAGTTTGGAGAAAAAAAGAAGTGACTTCCCCCTACTTGGGTAGTCTCCCACACCCCCGCCCTCCTGCCACCACTCCCCATGCCCAGCCCAGGATTTTCCAGCACCAAGCCCACAAAGAACCTCCTCCATGCTTCCAAGACTTATTCCCATTCCATCTATTATTTATTTATTTGTGGTGTGTGTGTGTGTGTGTGTGTGTGTGTGTGTGTGTGTGCAGGCGTGTGTGCAGCACGCCCATACTAGGGCCTTGCGTACATGTGGAAGCCAGAGGACAACTTGGAGGAGTGAGTTCTCTCCTTCCACCTTGACTGAGGTCATCAGGCTCACTGAGTCATCCCATCTGACTCACTTTTTTATTTTTTATTTTACTGGACTTCCAGGCCGTCCCATACAAAGGTTGTCAGGGCTCCCTGTAACGTTATTCTTTCTTTCAATCCCTAAATTCGAGGCTCCAAGCAGAGGGCCTGGGAGTACTCTGAGAGTTGCCGTTTAATGGATTTGGAGAAAGGACCAGAGCCGGCCGGGTAGGAGCTTCAACTGGGAACTCTCCAGAAAGAGGGTGTAGGAAGCTGGCACATCGCCAGCAGAGTGTCACAGGAACCTGGGGGAGGAGTGTCAACCAGGCACAGGCTTCCGGAGGAGGACGCTGGACAGAAAACAGCAGTCCAACAGGTTGCTCCGGAGGACTCCGCTGCACAGTTACGTCGGCCCGGCTTTGACTTTAGGCGGGAACAGAGGCCGGTGCGGAGTCTCTCGTGGACGCAGGGAGCGCAGAGGCTGCACCGGAGGGAAGAGGCTCTGGTGCACCGGGACTTGCTCCCATCTGGTGTGCTTTCTCAGCTGAGCAGAAGACCGTGGTCCGGGAGCAGCGGGCACTGACAGTACTGCAATTGCGCATAGGATAGAAGGCACGATCGCTGCCCTCCTCCCCTGCGCCCGCGACCACGAGGGTGAGCCGGCTGGGTCCGGAGAGTCTAGAGAAAGCGAAAGAACGCGGAATCACAGATTGGGCTTCCTGAAACTCGGGTGAGTTGGTTTCGATTCTCTGGCTCTGGTGGGGAGGCTGTCTGTCTGCTAAGATCTCTGCGGACCTCCTGCCAAAGCAGGACGGGGATGGGGGAATGGGGTTTGAGGAGGGGCAAAGGGCGGGGACCCGGCACAGGTGCTGAAGTCTTAAGAGTAGGTGGGAAGGCAGAAAGAAGGACTTGTTGTTTCCAGGACAGGTGATTCAGGGGGGTTTTGCTTTGTTTGTTTTGGGTTTGTTTTTGTTTTGTTTTTTGCTCTTGTGCTTTTCCAGACAGGGTTTCTCTGTAGAGTTCTGGCTGTCCTGGAACTTGCTTTGCCGACCAGGTTGACCTCAAACTCACAGAAATCTGCCTGCCTCAGCCTCTGGAGTGCTGAGTTAATTTAAAGGTGTGCACTACTACCACGGCCCGACTGGATTCCAGTTCTTAAATATGAATGCCCACTTCCTTTTCTAGGGCCCATTTCATACAAGGGTGAAGCAATCTGATGTAATGCTCGTAAAGGGTTGTGTGATTTTTAAAACAATTTATTTACCGAGACACTCCCTGTGTAGCTATGGCTGGCCTGGAACTCACTGTGTGGTCCAGGCTGGCCTTGAATCCCTAGAGACATCTGTCTGTGCTTCCCAGGCACTAAATTTAAGTTGTGCGCCCCAAACCCAGATACGCTTGATTTTTTTTTTTTTTTTTTTTTTTTTTTTTTGGTTTTTCGAGACAGGGTTTCTCTGTGGCTTTGGAGGCTGTCCTGGAACTCGCTCTGTAGACCAGGCTGGCCTCGAACTCACAGAGATCCGCCTGCCTCTGTCTCCCGAGTGCTGGGATTAAAGGCGTGCGCCACCAACGCCCGGCTACGCCTGATATTTTTAATGGAGGAGGCGGAGTTAGAGTAAATTAATATTGTTACCACTACTTCCAGATTTTTCACATTCGCTTCACATATCCACGAAAGAGTTGTGAAGACATGCGCTCAGCACCGGGCCCAGAGATTTATTGATTTTCTTTAAGAGTACCCTAACAGGCTGGGCGGTGGCTCAGACGTCAGAGAGTACCCTGATGTTAATGCCTGTGCCTCCTTCCCAGTTCAGTGGAATCCTGTGGACAAGGAAAACAAAACCTGTGGATTGCCACATACTTAGTTTCAGTTTGACAATTTGATTTCGTTTGTCGACTCATGTTTTAAAGGCAGATGGGGATTCCAGGGAATTTTTTTTCCATGTTGTTATCTGATCTGTGAATGGACTTACTTCTTTCTTGTGTGTGTGTGTGTGTGTGTGTGTGCACCCCATCTGTGTGTGTGCGTGTGTGTGCACCCCATCTGTGTGTGTGCGTGTGTGTGCACCCCACCTGTGTGTGTGCGTGTGTGTGCACCCCACCTGTGTGTGTGTGCGCGTGTGTGTGCGTGCATGTCTGTGTGTGTGCACCCCACCTGTGTGTGTGCGCGCGTGTGTGTGCGTGCGTGTCTGTGTGTGTGCACCCCACCTGTGTGTGGCTGCCTGTGGGGCTCAGAGCCCCTGGAGCCTGAGTTGCTAGCAGTTGTGAACTGACTAGCGTGGGTGCTGGGAACCGTCTCAGGTCCTCTGCAAGAGCAGCAAGTGTTCCTAACTATTGAGCTGTCTCATGTAGTCCCCAAAATAACACTTTTCTGTTGTTTTGAATTTCTCCAAGGTAATTCTTAACCTGGGCCATTGAGAAGATTGCTCTGATTTTAAGTATTTTTGAGAGTTGGAGACATGGCTCAGCAGTTAAGAACATTGGCCGCTCTCCTAGAACCTAGGTTTGATTCCTACCATGCACATCATAGCCAACAACCTTCTATAGCTCCACTTCCAGAGGATCTGACACCCAAGGGCACTGCCTGCATGTGATACACAGACATATATGCAGGCAAAACACCCATGTACCTAAAATAAAAATAAATGAACTTTTAAATTTTTTAATGATTTGTTTGTTTTTGTTTATGTTCTATGTGCACTGGCATTTTCTTTGCATGTATGTCTGTGTGAAGGGATCAGATTCCCTGGAACTGGAGGTTCAGACAGTGGTGAGCAGTCATGTGGGTGCTGGGAATTGAACTCAGGTCCTCTGGAACAAAGCCAGTGCTCTTAACCATTGAGCCAACTCTCCAGCCCAAAATAAGTAAGTCTTTAAAACTGCTTGTGAAGCCAGGCATAGTGGTGCATGCCTTTCATTGCAGTATTTAGGACGCAAAGGCATGAGGAGTTCTGTGAGTTGGAGGCCAGCCTGATCTACTTGCTGAACTCCAGGACTACATAGGGAGACCCTGCCTCAAACACAAAAACAGAAAATGCTTCTGGATCTGTTTCTGGGCTTTGAGCTCATTTGAACAGCATCTTCATCAATTGCAGATGAGGATGGAACTGTGTTTCTAAAGCACTTAGCATGTTGTCAGTGAGAAGATTTATTGTTATGGCAGTTCTTATTCATTCTGGACTCTAGTTGCCTTCAAGTAGACCATGATTCAAACCTAGCTTCAACAAGAAGGGAGACTGAGTGACTGAAGAGATGACTCAGCAGCTAAGAGCACTGCCTGCTCTTCCAGAGGACCCAGGTTCAATTCCCAGCATCCACATGGCATCTCACCACCATCTGTAAATCTAAACCCAAAGATCTAATGGTGCCCTCTTCTGGGCATCAAAGGTACTGCATGCACATGATAGGCATACAGGCAAAATACTCATACACAAAATAAAATTTTAGGAAAGGTAGAAGAAGGAAGGTTGAAACCTGTAGATGAGGTGACATAGATTTCAAGATCAGTTTAAACTAGTGGCTCAATGTTGTCATCAATTCAGAATCTTCCGTTTTTCTATCATTCTTTTTGTTTGTTTGTTTCTGTTTTTGTTTTTGTTTTTCAAGACAGGGTTTCTCTATATTGTTTTGGAGACTGTCCTGGAACTCATTCTGTAGACCAGGCTGGCCTCGAACTCACAGAGATCTGCCTGCCTCTGCCTTCCGAGCGCTGGGATTAAAGGCGTGCGCCACCAATGCATGGCCCGTTTTTTTCTATCATTCTTATGTGGGCTTCATTACAAGCTGTAGGATAAGGCTCTGTGACTTTTCACTTGTATGCACAGAAAAAGAGAGGGAGACAGGTGGAGCAGAAACTTTTGGCTTTGGCTTCCTGGGCTCTCTCAGGAGAGCTAGGCACTTGCTCAGCAAGCATTCTCTCCACTCAGCCTGGCCCAGGTGCCCAGCTGTGTTTTATTTTTAAGATATGGTTTATTTTCAGTGTATGAGTGTCATGCATGTATATGTAACGCAGGGAAAGACAGAAAAAATTAAGACTGACAGAATATCTCACACTATAGTCCATGCTGGCCCCAGACTCACAGAAACCTTCCTGCCTCAGCCTCCCAGAGTCCATTTTCATTGCAATCCCATATTCTTGGCCAAGTGTAGTTATGGAGGCAAATCAGGACTGGCAAGCTACCCTTGACCCTTAACTAGCTGAGCAGTAAATACGCTGGGGACTGTGGGATTTCAGCCAATCTATGGGTCTCTTCCAGGCATGGATAAACTGGGGCAGATCATCGCCTTAGGCCAGCTCATCTATACAAAGTGTGAAGAGATGAAGTACTGCCGGAAGCAGTGCCAGCGTCTAGGGAGACGCATCCATGGTCTGCTGCAGCCTCTCCAGAGGCTCCATGCCCAAGGAGCCAACAACCTGCCAGACGACATAACTGCTGCTCTGGCCCGTTTTGAGACCGTCCTGAAGGAGGCGAGACAGCAGATAGAAAAGTTCAGCAATAAGTCCAATTTTTGGAAGTTTGTGACTGCGGGCAATGACAAGATACTCTTCCTTGAAGTAAACGAGAAGCTGAGAGATGTCTGGGAGGAGCTCTTGCTGCTGCTCCAGGTTGATCAATGGAACCCTGCTCCAAATATCAGCCAAATAGCATCCTGGCCGCAGGAAGATCAACAGGACGCAGAGGAGGATGGGTGAGTATCCTAAAGGCTGACAGAGAACAAGCTGGGCATGAAGTAGAGGAACATATGGGGTCAGGGAGCATCTTAGCTTCACTTTGATTTGCCAAAGGAAAGGAAATGGAAGAATTTGAACAGTTGTGTATACTTGTGACTTAGAAATCCTACTGTATGCATGACAGAGGCTGGTACAATCGGGTGAAGGCCTTTTGGGGGAGGGGACACATTGTTACCTGCATGTGAGTCTCCTTTGCTTCTCCATTAACTTTTTGATGTAATATCTGGAATCCAAATCCATATCTGACAACCTTTGCTTCTATGGAACTCTTGCTTAAAGTGAAGATTGTCCAATAAAAGCATTTACTAAAACAAACTAAGGGACCATGTATTGGGTACAGCATGCACAGCACTGTTCTAAACCTTTGGGATACAGCACAGAACAAAATAGATAGTATCTCTGACCTCGTGGAATGCAAAGTCTGCTGATAGAAAGATAATTTTCTCTAAAGCCCATGAAAGCCACAGGGCAGAGTAATGATACACAATGATTCAGAAAGAACAGACAAGACAGACATTTGAATGGACACCTTGACCAAGGAGAAGGAGCTAGCCATACAGAAACAAGATTGCCCTTGTGGTAGAATTGCAGGAAGGAGACCCCAACTGAACCACTGTATTTCAAGCCTCTGCTTGTGCTACATCCACTAAACAAGCCATCTAGCAAAGCTCAGCCTGAAGAGACAAAGGCATACAGTTGACTCTCTATGTTGCTATGGCTGTATATGGCTACTTCCTGGAAGTCACTAACTAGAATCAGTAATTCAACCTACCTGAGAATCAGAAAGGAAGCATGAATGAGTTAGGAGACCACATTAGACGGCAGATGAGTTAGCAATAGCTTGAACTAGAATGGCCCTCCTTGAACATCAAAGAGGGTCAGGCTCTAAAGAAGTGAGGTATGTGCTAGGCTGGAGGTAGAGGGTAAGAGTTGAGCCTAGGCCTGTTGATGAAGTTTCTATCTCACCTGATCCCATAGCCATTTAGCCCCAAATAAACACACAGAGGCTTCTATTAATCATAAACTGTTTGATGGATCAGGCTTCTTACTGACTATCTCTCTCTTAATTATTAATCCATAATTATTAATCTATGTATTTCTACATGGCCTTATCTTACCAGAGAACGTTCCAGTATGTTACTCTTTTATCAACTACATGGTGTCTCTCTTGCGGCTTCCCTCTCTCTCCTCTCCCCAGAATTCTCCTGTTGCTATAGTCCTGCCTATACTTCCTACCTGGCTACTGGTCAATCAGTGTTTTATTCATCAACCAATAAAAGGAACATATGTACAAAAGGACATCCCCCATCATAGGCCACCAGGAGAGGGAAGATGAGGGAAACATGGAAACAATTATGACCTTCTTAGATTTATGATAACCCAGTGATATGAATCCCAAAAATGGTTAGCTAAAAGATAAGAGGTTTGTTAGTAAAGGAAGCTGATACAAGATTAACTTTTTATCAGGTGAGTTACAGGCTGATTGCCAAAGATAGCCATCATGAGGCGTTTTAGTGACAGATCACTAGGCGAGTTCCCACAATAGCATCATGTGGCTTAACCTGGTCTAGCCCATGTGCCAAGGGGTGGACTAGGGAGGATGTAAATGTATCCTAGAGCAGCAAGGGTGGGGGAGGGCTTATCAACTCTGTCTGAGGGAGATGCTGGGGCAATGACCTGAATCCTTTGATAGAGAAAGCACAGAAGGGTCTGTAAAGCCAATAGTAAGAGTTGGGTAGAGAGAAAAGGAGCGAGGAGGTGTGCTGGGTGTGTCCGCTTGACACAACCTCCAGCCATCTGGGAAGAAGGACCCTCAACTGAGGTAAGGCTCCTTCACACTGGCCTGTAGGCAAGTCTGTGAGGAATTGTTTTCATTAATGACTGAGGACCCCATCCACTGTGGGCAGTGCCACTCCTGGGGTTGGTGGCCCTGGCTGTACAAGAAAGCAAGTGTAAAAGTCATGGAAAGCACAGCTGTCAGTGAGCCGTGTTCCTCCACAGTCTTCGCTGCAGTTCCTGCCTCCAGGCCCCTGCCTTCAGCCCCTTGCCCTGGCTTCCCTGAATGAGACTGTAGTAGGTAACTAATAGATAGAGTTCCATCTGGTCATGGTGCTTGTCACAGCAACGGTGAGCAAACTAGGACAGAAGAACACATGGACACACCTTTTACATGCTTGAGCTCAGAGAAGCAACTGGCCTATTGCTTTGATATGGGGTGGGGATGCCCAGTCAAGTCAACAAGAGACATCTAAGTGAGACAAGTGAGGAGGGTTTTAAGCAAATGAGTTCCTTTTTGTAACAGGAGAAGTCAAGACATCTGTAATCCAATCATCACCCACCATCAAACAAAAAGAGAATCAGGGATCAGGGAGGACAGCGGGTGTTATGGTAGAATAGAGGGCAGGATTGGCTTCCAACTTTTCTTATTTTGTTTTTTTTTTTTTTTTTTGGTTTGGTTTGGTTTGGTTTTGGTTTTGGTTTTTGGTTTTTCAAGACAAGGTTTCTCTGTGGCTTTGGAGGCTGTCCTGGAACTAGCTCTTGTAGACCAGGCTGGTCTTGAACTCACAGAGATCCGCCTGCCTCTGCCTCCTAAGTGCTGGGATTAAAAGTGTGTGCCCGACTGGCTTCCAACTTTTCTAATCATGAGAAAATTTTGGTCCATCTCTTCATGGTGGCAGGAACCATGTGGAAGTCATTACCTGGAAGACAGGACTGACTTCCTGCTCTGCCCTTTAGGTTTCTGTGGGTGATACAGTCACATGGTACCACATTCTAAAGATTTTTAGAAGGTCCAGAAGAGCTGGGTATAGAAGTGCATGCCTTTAATCTCAGTACTTGATTCACAGAGGCAGGGGGAATCTCTATGAGTTCAAGGCCATCCTGGTCTACATGATTAGTTTCAGGACAGCCAGAGCTACACAGTGAGACCATTTCTGGAGGAGGGAGGGGTAAGGGAGGTCCAACATAAGCAGTTAATCTCCCCATCATCCTTAATCTCTAGGGATCTCTTTTACATCTTAGACATGCTCTCACTTTGTACCATCTTTTCCTGGCCCTCTGGAGATTTACATGTACATTTTCTGATTCTTGAGTATTCTTCCAAATAAATTTCCATAGACTTCTCTGGTATTTCTTGATATATATGAACCAGATATATTGAACATGTAAATTGTATCCAGTTGTTCACTGTTATAATTTCATAGGGAGCATCTTTGTGTGATAGTCCCAGTAGTGAAATTACCTAGCTAATTGAAGGGTTAAAGGCAATGAACATTTTCAATTTTGATAGAGATTGCTAGATTGCCCTCTACAGATGATATATATTTTGGGGGGTGAGGGATTCGAGGCAGGGTTTCTCTGTGGCTTTGGCTCGAACTCACAGAGATCCACCTGCCTCTGCTTCCCAAGTGCTGGGATTAAAGGTGTGCGCCACCACCGCCCAGCTCAGAGGCTATATATTTTATCAATCACAGATTTAAAAAACAAAACAAAACATTGTTTTCTAGGTTTTTTTTCCCATTAGAGACTAAAGATCTCAAATCCTCAGAATTCCTCAGTCCTAGGCAAGCTGAGTTGGCAAGAATTTATGTAGAATATAATGTATTTGTGATGTAAATAAAAAGGCACTGGCCAGGACAGGAGAGATGGCATAGCTGTTAAGAGCACTTCCTGCTCTTTCACAGGACCCAGGTTCGGCTCCCAGAATCCATGCTGGGCAGTTCACAGCTGCCTGTAACTCTAGTTCTAGGGGATCAAAAAAATCTTCTTCTGACCTACTCAGATATACACATGCACGGCACGCATTCACACAGACACATGCATACTTATGCATAAATAAAATAATAATAAGTCCTCAAGATCTATCAGTTCAGAGTTTTATAGAAATAAGTTTATTTTTCATTCAAGCAAAGTACATGAGACCCTCCAAGATGACTCCTCCCTGGGACACTTTGAGTAGTTAAGCACTTTCTTGTTGATACAAATTTCCACTCCCAAAGCAGCCAGGTTGGGACATGAACAGAGTCAACAAAATATGTCACTGAAAAGCTTCCTGACAGCTTAAGAGAGGAAAGACTTACCTGGGTTCATAAATTCAGTGTCTTCCGGCATCATAGCTGTAAAGGCACGGAGCAGTTCTCTGGCAGTGGAAGTGTGTAGCGAGGCTCCTCACATCATAGAAGACTAGGAAGCAGAAAGGCAGGCCAGGCCAGACTCACCCCCCAGTGACTCACTACTGCCAGCCAGGCTCAATCTTCTGAGGGCTCCACTGCCTTCAAAACAATGCCACTCACTGGGGACCAAATGATCAAATCACCAGCCTGTGGGGACAGTCCAGGTTGAAAACACATCTCTTTCACTTACTTTCTTGGCCAAGTAGGTCCACACAGCTAAACTTCAGGGCATCTCCTATGTGTTTGAAAATAGAAATATGAATATTAACAGTAGTATTTCCCTACCAATGATTAGAGTTTAAAAATCTGTCACCTTAGTGATTTTAATTAGCATCTTGGTTTTAATGCACATATAGTTTGTGTTTTGCACTTACAGTTTTAAGCATGTGCTGCCCCTTTTTCCTGCAGATATGAGCCTATTCTAGCTCTCTTGAGGAAGCTAAGTATTGACATGGAAGAAATCAAGGAAACTCTGAAACAACGTAAGTTGCCACATTCCCTGTTGCATTAAATGCTCCCAAAGTAGAAGCCATCCCTTTGTTAGAAACTCCGGCCTCTCTTCTCCGGTCCTGCTCTGCTTTCTCTGCAGGGTAGCACTGGAAGCAGTTCACGGGTGTGGGGATGTGGCCACAGTTAACCCAGACTCCTGTCTGTGAAGTAGCATTTGAAAGTGGCTTCTTGACCAGCAAGAAACCATAGTATTTTACTAAAATAGACCAGGTATGGTGGCACACGCCTTTAATCCCAGAACTTCGGAGGCAGAGGCATCTCTGACTCTGAGGCGAGTCTGCTCTACAGAGTTAAGTTCCAAAACAGCCAGGGCTACACCCAGAAACCCTGTCTCAAAACACAAAATAAGAATAACTTTTAAAAGGGGATGCTACAGTAAGTATAATAATAAATTATTTCCTCCACGAATAGCATTGACATCCATCAAGTTTCTGTTACAGTAACAAATACCCAAGGCAGCAGCTTAGAAAGAGAGATAGTTTACTTAAGCTCACAGTTTTGAAGATATTCAGTCCATGATTGGTTATCAGTCCCATTGTTTTCGAGTCTGTGGCAAGGCAGCTTATCAGGTAGGAACACGGGATGAAGCAAAACACTCACCTGATAGGCAAACAGCAAAAGAAGAGAAAAGGGGGAAGAGAGTAGGGTCCCACCATTTGTCCCCATCTTAAAGTTTCCACCAACCTCCCAATAGCACCCCTGGGGACCGAGCTTTTAACACATGGGTCTTTGGGGACATCCAAACAGTAGCAGCATCAAAACTTCAATTCATTTACTGATTGTCCATAAGAAATTCAAATCAAGGGCTTTGGAGAGGGCTCAGTGAGTACAGCGCTGGCTGCAAAAGCATGAGGGCCTCCTTGGATCCCCAGCATCTCCTTAAACCCAGGAATGGTGACACACACCTGGAATCTCGACACTGGAAGGAGGAGATACGATCTCCAGGGCTCACTGGGCAGCCAGTCCAGCCAGTCAGCAAGCTACAAAGTGAGCGAGAGATCTTTTTCCAAAGACAAAGGTGGATGGGAGCTCAAGAGGTGACCCGGCAGTTAAAAGTGCTCCCTACTCTTGCAGAGGGCCCAGATTCAGTTCCAGTGCCAGCCAGCCATATGGTGGCTCACAGTCACCTGTAGCTCCAATTCCAGGGCATGTGATGACTTCTTGGGGCTTTCTCGAACCCTGCATGTAGCGTACATAGAGACATGCAGGCACACAGTCATGCACATAAAATAAAAATAAATAAACAATTTTTAAAGAAATAAACAAGGCGAGAAGCAAAAGAGAAAGACACTTAATTTCCACCTCTGACCTCTACGTGTATAAGGCATGAATACTTGCACATGTACACACACACACACACACACACACACACACACACACACATGAAATTTAAATTAAATTTAAGGTACTCATTTATTCACACACTCATTCAACAAACTGGCTACCAGAAGCTCATGCCATAGGGGTAAAGGAAAGGAGATGACAGAGGGACAGTGCAAATGTGTTGTATGACATTTCTTGTGGGACTGCACGTTCCGGTGTATGAAGGTGTGTGTGTGCCCATGTGTGAACATGTTCATGGAATCCGGAGGTCAAACTCAAGCATTATTCTGACAGAGCCATCTATTTTGTTTTTGAGACAGAGTATCTCACAGAGACCTGGGGCTCATCAATTAGTCTAAAATTTCTGGCCACCAAATCTCAGGGATTCACTTATCTCCACCTCCCTAGTGTTGGGGTTACAAGTACATATACCATCCTGTCCACCTTGTACATGGATTCTAGAGATATGACCCTATTTTTCACACTTCTGGGGCAACACTTTACTGACTGAGTTACCTCCCCTGCCTTCCTGGGAAATTTATTTTTATTACCTTAAAGGAAAAGGAAAAAAAAAACAGACTGTCTTAATTTCTCTTGCTGTGATAAAGCATCAAGACCAAAAGCAAGTTGGGGTGGGGTTTATGTCAAATTGGCATAAAACTAGTTGGCACTCAGACCAAAGAATGGTTTTGTCCAAGTCTATCTTGGTGAATCAAAGTATTACTATTACTTTCTGGAACATGGGTGAGAAGTTACTTGTGGGAGTATAGCATGAACAAGAACTTAGGAAAGCTGATCACTGAACTTCTACACAAGAGTCTCCTCTCAACCAGCAAAGGTTTACTATGCAGAGACTTCTGTGAGTCCTGTATGTTTCTTGACCTTCCTCAGCCTTGTAAGTTTCCTGTGAGCTTCATGAATTTCTGAGGAAGAAAATGTAGCAATCCAGGAGGAAACAGCCATACAACTGACAGCAGTATAGTTGCTGAACTTGAACTGTGTCTCTAGTTGATCTGAAATCACTCAACATGATGCCAGGTACCTAGTGCCAAGCTGTGTGGCAACAGAAGTAAGGAGAAGTCTGAGATGAGAGAGGCTGGCATTAAAACTGGACAGGCAGACAAGATTGGAAAAGGAGGCTAAGGACTTAGATCAATGGTAGAAAATGTAACTCAGAAGCAGAGGACCCTCTACCCTGAGTTGGGTCCACCGGAAGCTCCAGCCAGGACCAGTTTTGGTTCATGGTGTGAGGTCTCCCCCTCATATCACTAAGAGGCCATTTCCCTTAGAGCACGTTCCTAGCAGACTGACTTTTTCTCTCCCTCTGTCTCAGGCTCACTAACACCCACACAGGAGATCCCACAGGAGCAAATCAAGGAGATTAGGAAGGAGCATCTTCTCGGGTCTCCGTGGACCTTACTGAAGAACAACAACCTCAGCACACTCTATAGAGGAGAGTACCACAGGTCTCCAGTTACCATCAAAGTATTCAAGAAGCCCCAAAACGGCAGTGGGTAAGAAGTAGTGTGTGATTCTTATATGTATCAACCCTTATTCTCTGTAACTTCTCAAGGAGAAAGGTATGTTTTCCCCATTATTAAATGGAGGGGGATCAGGCTCTAACAGGTTCAGTGACATCTATCACAGTATTTTCAGGATATTCACTAAAATAAAATATAACTAGTAATAAAAACTTGACATCTTAGTTTGCCATATAAGTCACATAAACACAATTCTAAGAGATCCTATTATTCTTGTCACAGATGCTTAGGGACTAATTCTGCATCTGGGAAGTTAGGCTGGTAGACAAAAACATGAACCAAGAGATACATAAACCACATGGAGTTTATTAAAGGTGAGGAAGAGCAAAAGGGAGAGGAGAGAGAGAGACGAAAGGAGGAAGAGAGAGACAGACAGGAAGGGCAAGAGAACAAGAGAGGCAAGAGAGAGGACAAGAGGAGAGAAGAGGGTAAGAGAAGACAGCAAAGAGAGCATAGGTGGGCGGGGTCTGTCTTTTAAAGGGTCCTTTGCACCTGCAGTGCAGACTTAGTACTCACGGAACCCTGGGCTGACCAGAGTACTGCCTGAGTGCATTCTGCCAGGTAACAGGGGCAGGCCAGCATAATGCCTGAGTCCTTACACTCTCACCTTTACTTATTATTAAAAAGGTGGGGAGTTAGACATGGCAGGTTAGGGAATAAGGACATCTAGTTCTCAAGACTACTTCCTGATGACTTGGAGGGCGTTGACCATCTTTGGGGAACCTGAGAAAGCTGGGGTGCTGCCACATCCTGGGGTAGCTGGTTGTTTCTTCCAGTCCAAGCTGTGTGGAACTCTATGGCATCTCTTAGACCTGGCAAGATGTTGGCAGAGCAGAGGATAAAGTTAAGTTAAGAAAAAGAATTTTTCTTAGGTCCTGGCACTTGAGGGGAGTATTGTAAAATGAGGGAGGGGCTCCCTAGGGGGGGGCTCAAGAAGGGAGTCCCAGAACAAGGGAAAGGTTGAATAATATCTGGAATGAATCTGACCTGTTTGGGTGGGTCCAATTCGGCTCCTTGGAACTTACAATAATCCTTTGAGTTTGTGAAAACATAAGTATTAGACACATTAGCAGCATATTTATGTTAGAAGCAACTTGGCTGAAAGCATTAACATTTCTAAAACTGACAGGTATTTTTAGGACAATGAAAAGCACCTTAATTTTGACCTTGCAGTTATCGTATAGTGGTATAGCATGTTGTTTAGTATCCTATCAGAGTTTTGGCTGAAAGCATTAACATTTTTAAAACTGACAGATATCTTTAGCACAATGAAAAGTACCTTCATTTTGACTTTGCCATTATCGTATACTGGTATAATATGGTGTTTTGAACTCTGTTGGAGTTGCACTAGTAGCTTATCAGAACTTCGTTGATTAATGTTAAGACTATCAACAGTAGCATAATGGGAAAGAGAGAGATCTGAGACGTGTTTCATTTTTTTAATGTCTCAACTCACTTTTTTATCATCACTTAAGCCTTTTTTCTTCAGACCTTCATAACTTTAATTCATACACCTTACACTTTCCTGTCTTCACATAGATAAGCCCTAAAATACCTGTTCCTGAAATCTGTTTTGTGACAGCTGGAGCTTTGACTGTTGCTTTAAGCTGGCAAGGCTACCAGTTGTCAAAAGCATCAGAGTTCTTGAAAAGGATAAAATTTTACCTGAATTAATAATTAAAGAATAACAGAGACTTAAAGAAACTTACTATCTGGTTGCATGGACAGCCACCGAAAGATCCCCCATAATTGTTGAGGGCAGAGGCTTTAAGGAAACCTGCCTTCTGCTGATAGCATGGGACTTGTGGATTGGTAGTGGTAGGAAGACTTGCCCACTGTTGGCTAAGCAACATGGAGAAAGTCGATTCCCTTGTCCTCTGGTCCATGATCTGAAGAGTCCTTTGCAGCAGTTGAGGTGAAAGGCAGGGTTGCTCGGTGGCCAGCACTACCACTTTTGTGGGTGGAGTTTCTTTAATGCCCACCAGTCTTCTTGGAGAAAATGGGGTGGGGGCAGCAGCTGGCCTGTCTCTGTTATAAAAAGCTTTTTAATAAAGCATTTTAAGCCAGGCAGTGGTGACACATGCCTTTAATCCCAGCACTCGGGAGGCAGAGGCAGGCGGATCTCTGTGAGTTTGAGACCAGCCTGGTTGGTCTACAAGAGCTAGTTCCAAGGACAGCCTCCAAAGTCACAGAGAAATCCTGTCTCAAAAAAACAAAAATAAATAAATAAATAAAAATAAAGCATTTTAAATGCCATATTCTCTATATCTCTGGGCATTTGAGGGCTGTCTGTCTGTTTAGTATATCTGAACAGACAAAATTTGTCAGTAGTTAATTACCTTAAGCATATAGATGGCTAGGTAAGGCTTTATCCCTGTAATTAATTTGTATGGTTACAGATTAGTGCAGGATCTGTCAGGAGAACTGGACTGAAGCTGAGAGGCTGTGGAGAGATGTTTTAGTCAGAGCCCTCTAGCCTGACTGTAGCTGGTTTTAACTTAGTAGGTTAGATGTACACCTATAAAGGACAAAGAAGTAGAGAAAAATCCCCTTTTGTAATAGAAGCTTAACCTTTGTAAACAGCATACACCATATATTCTTTGAGGGGCCTTCGGAGTCCAAATGCTAATCTCTCCTTCCACTCTCCTAGAATAGTGAGACACACTTTCAATACCGAGATCAGAGCCATGAAGAAATTTGACTCCCCCAATGTCTTGCGTATATTTGGGATTTGCATTGATGAAACAGGTAAGGAGGCTTCTGGGATTGGTCATAGATTCATAGGTGAGCACTTAAGAGATTAGAAAGAGAGTTGTGTTAGCCAGGTGGTGGGAGTGTACGCCTTTAATCTCAGCACTTGGGAGGCAGAGGCAGGTGAATCTCTGTGAGTTCAAGGCCAGCCTGGTCTACAAAGCTACACAGAGAAACCCCGTCTTGAAAAAAAAAGAAAGAAAGAAGGTTGTGCTGTTCAAGTTAGGCATGGAGGTCAGCCACATGGTGGACAAACAGCTACATGGTGGAGAGGAAAACTTTAGAGACAGTAAAAAAGTTCAAGTGCCAGAGGAAGTGTACTTCAACTCTGGGCAGCATCCTGAAGAAAGACAAAAGAAAAAAAAATGACCATGAGTCGGGCCTTAGAAAGGTGGTCAAGCCCCACAGAGTGTTACATTTTTTTTTTTTTTTTTTTTTTAGAGACAGGGTTTCTCTGTATTGTTTTGGAGGCTGTTGGTCCAGCCTGGCCTCGAACTCACAGAGATCCGCCTGCCTCTGCCTCCCGAGTGCTGGGATTAAAGGCGTGCGCCACCACCGCCCGGCTAGAGTGTTACATTCTTAAGGGCAGCTCATAGGGCAGTGGAGAGGACCTAAGAGTGACACGGACTCCCTGATGGACAGACAGACAGGAGCAGGGTCCATGACTAGGGAAAAGATGGCAACCTTCTAAGATGGCTGGCTCCTTCCTTACCCTCCTACCCAAGACAAAAGCCTAAAACAGGCTTGGCAGACTTTTTTTCTCCTACCAGTAGGACACAGGTGCACTCACACCACACCTCCCTAGACCCTGGTTTAGAGACTGGATTTTCAGACTCCCAAGTCCAATCTCTGATTAGCAGAAGAGAGGAGGTCTTTCTGGATGCTTGCTCTCTCTCTCTCTCTCTCTCTCTCTCTCTCTCTCTCTCTCTCTCTCTCTCTCTCTCTCTCTGTGTGTGTGTGTGTGTGTGTGTATGCACCCCTCCTCACTCCTAACAAAAGTCTTCCCTCACTGATTGATTCTGTCTACTGAGTTTGAGACTTTCGCCACTGCTACTTATCTTACGAAAGACTTTTCCTGCCCTTTAATTCTCTGACAGAAAAAAAAAAAACCCTTGATGGTAACAATGAGGTTATTACCAATGTTCATTGTTTTCTGTGTTCCAAGATATAAGTTCCCATCTTCTTTGAACTAACGCAGTTATGCCTCCCACTGCCTATCCGTTGAGAACCCAGGGGTTGCTTGCTGAGATGCTAGCCTGAGTCAAGGGTATGGTTTCTTTCTTTCTTTTTTTTGGGGGGGAGGGTTGGTTGGTTTTTTTTTTAGATAAGTTCTAATTAAGTAGCACTGACTAGCCTAGGACTTGCTCTGTTGATCAGGCTGGCCTTGAACTCACCTGCCTCTGCCTCCTGAGTGCTGTGATCAATACAGCTCTTATTTTTTAATGTGACTTTAAGTGTTTCTTATCCTTCAGCTAAAACCAAGTGTTAATGTGGCTACATTTTCTCTCTGTTGTTGCCTAGAAAGGGGACAGCAACATCTCCCCTTCTGGAAATTACTCCACAGCCTAAACCCAACCTAATCTGTGGGGGCGGGGGGGGGGGGGGAATGGTTGAAGAGAGTTCAGGCTAGAAGTCGAGGTGCCAGGTCAGAGTCCAGAAATGGAAGAAATAACACATTCAAGGTGAATACGTCACCTCGGCCATCACCTAAGAGAATTAGTGTCACTAAACGTTCCTGCAGATTGAGGTTTTTTAAAATCGGGTTGGTCTTAGACTGGGAGAGAAATGGGCTCACTTGAGAGCAGAAAGGATCTCCAGAGGAAGAAGCCGAGAAGGGATTTGTGGCTGTGGGAGTCCTGAGTGGGGCTGGATCGTCATGGTGTCTGCTTCCTTTCCATAGTGAAGCCCCCCGAATTCTCCATTGTCATGGAGTACTGTGAACACGGGACCCTGAGGGAACTGCTGGATAAAGAAAAGGACCTCACGCTGAGTGTACGCATCCTCCTAGTCCTGGGAGCCGCCAAAGGCTTGTACAGGTACCAGAGTTGTTAAATGGGCACCGCACAGAACTGGAGGAGTCTAGCCAGGCAGTGGTGGTGTACACCTTTAATCCTAGCATTTCCCCGCACTCGGAAGGCAGAGGCAGGCAGGCGGATCTCTGTGAGTTCGAGGCCAGCCTGGTCTACAGCGTGAGTTCCAGGACAGCTAGGGCTATACGGGGAAATCTTGTCTCGAACAAAAGAGGAGAACTTGAGGGATCTGTCCGCACTACTGATGATCTCAGAGGTGATGAGAGAACCGGCCAGAAGCTCCGCATAGCTTCCCTTCTTTCCACTACTACACTGCTGACTCTGGTTCTGCGCAGGCGCATTATTCTAGGTTGTCCACAGGTAGCCAGCCACTCACAATGAAAGTCAGGGAACTAGCCAGCCTCATCATCCCATTAAACACCGTTTATGCCAAGATCATTAATGCACCCTACCTTTGGTTGTCATCAGGCTACACCACTCAGAATCACCTCAACTGCACAGGAACGTCAGCAGCTCCAGCTTCCTGGTGGCTGGCGGCTACCACGTAAAGGTGAGCACATCCTCTGGGGCTCCTTGGGTTGGTCAGAGCTTTGCAATGGTTTGCTGCTCTTGCAGAAAGGCTGTGCTTTCTTGCTTCTCTCCTAGGTTTCAGCATTTAGTGCATCTCTTCTGCTTGTACAGCTTTCTGGGTGCCCACCACAGGACAGACTCCCCCGTAACTCCCGCTCTGATGTGCCTACCTTCCTCCCACCCCCCAGAGAAGGAATAAGCTAGGAGCCATTTTCCTTAGATCTTACACGCCACTTCTACATCACTGAAATACCTACCAGGGGATCTGTTTATATTCAACTAGGCATTCAGGTTGTCACGGGCCACACTTGTCATTCGAGGTCACTTACAAGGATCTCACAGGGAGCACACCTCGATAGCAGCACCAACCCCTTCTCTCCAGTGGGAGTCCTCACACTCATCCAGGAGATACTGGCTTTGCTCCTACCAGTTGCTAAAGAAAGAGGTTTCCATTAAGTGGGTGTGGGGTCATCCAGATTTAGAAGTCTCAAGATTTACAAGAGTCAATGTGAGCCAGGCGTTGGTGGCGCACGCCTTTAATCCCAGCACTTGGGAGGCAGAGGCAGGCGGATCTCTGTGAGTTCGAGGCCAGCCTGGTCTACAAAGTGAGTTCCAGGACAGCCTCCAAAGCCACAGAGAAACCCTGTCTCAAAAAACAACAACAACAAAAAAGAGTCAATGTGTCTTGTAACTCTACAGACATACCTTCCAATGACCCTGCAAGGGATGAGCTATTTCCCATGTATAATGGTAGCTATAAAGTATAGCATGCCTATTAGGTATTTATGGTCCTCCAGTCCCCTACCCCAAAGCAATTTGTATATCAGCAATCATTTTTATAATTAGGTTACTAAAAAGCATGATTGATGGTCTACCTGTAACAAAGCTGAAGGTTAGCTGAAAATAAACTGTAGCTTGTTTCATTTGCTCAGAGGAAGAAAAGGGGTTTGTAAACTCATTGTCAAAAACCCTAAAATTGTAGAAGAATATTTTATTTGTCATCCATAGATACTTTTCTCTCTTTAAAAAAAAAAAGGCCCTGGAGAGATGGTTTGGTGATAAAGAACACTGGCTGCTCTTCCAGAGGACCTGAATTTAATTCCCAGTGACCACATGGCAGTTCATAAGCATCTGTAATAAGATCTGGTGCCATCTTCTGGCCTGCAGAGAAACATGCAGACAGAACACTGTATACATAATAAATAAATAATCCTTAAAAAAACCTATATACATAATAAATAAAAGTTTAAAATTTTAATGACAGAAATAAAAATGCAACTAAAACAAGCTTCTAGAAGAAGCTTGCCCATCTTTTTTTAATTGATTTTTATTTAAATTAAGAACAATCTTATTTTACATACTAATCCCAGTTTCCTCTCCCTCCTGTCCTCCCATTCTCCCCATTCCCCACCACACCCCCCATCTACTCCCCAGGGAGGGTGAGGCCTCCCATGGGGAATCATCAAAGTCTGTCACATTATTTGGGGCTATGCCCTCCCACATGTATCTAGACTGAGAGAGTATCCCTTGATAGGGATAAATACTGGTTCTACTGCCAGAGGCCTCATAGCCTGAACAGGCTCCCCAACTGACACCCACGTTCAGGGGGTCTGGTCTTATGTTGGTTCCCCAGCTGTCAGACTGGGGTCTGTGAGCTCCCAGTTGCTCAGATCAGCTATTTCTGAGGGTTTCCCCAGCATGGTCACTCCTCCCTCTACTGGATTCCAGGAGTTTGGCTCGGTGCTTAGCTGTAAATCTCTGCTTCTGCTTCCATCAGCTACTGGATGAAGGCTCTAGGATGGCAAATATGGTATCCATCAATCTCATTATAGGGGAAGGGTATTTAAGATAACCTCTCCATTTAGATTCTTATTTGGGGACATCCTTGTACATCTCTGAATATTTCCCTAGTGCCAGATTTCTCTTTAAACCTATAGTTGTGCCCTCTTTTAAGGTATCTCTTTTCTTGCTCTCCTCTATTCTTTCCCCGACTCAATCTTCCTGGTTCCTCACGTCTTCCTCCCCCCTCCTCTTTTCCCCTTCTCTTTCTTCTAACTCCCCCCCCCGTGCTCCCAATATGCTCAGGAGATCCTGTCCCTTTCCCCTTCTCTGGGGGACCATGTGTGTCTCTCTCAGGGTCCTCCTTGTTCCCCAGCTTCTCTGGAATTGTGGATTGTAGGCTGGTTATCCTTTGCTCTATGTCTAATATCCACTTATGAGTGAGTACATACCATATTTCTCTTTCTGTGTCTGGGTTACCTCATGATCTTGCCCATCCTATATCATTCTAGACTCCCATCTGGACTTGAGTTTCAGAGCTGGGTCCCTGAAAATATCCCTGTTGCTGACCATTTTGTCCAAGAGGATATCTAGAGAGTACCTTTGTGTGCACAAGGTGATTGCAATCATACACTTTCACAAAAGACTTAATCTGACCTCTTGGTGGTTTTCTTCTTGCCCATGGCTACTGTCACTTTGCCAGAGCTTGCTGTCAATTTCATCCACCAGAACATGGCTAAGGGGGGGGATGCTGAGGTGCCATTATCAACATTATTTTCTATGATAGCTTTATATCCAGATTTGCATCCAGCCAGAATGAGTACCACGCTGACAAGTTTTCTGAGTTTGCCCATTGTTTTAGATAGGGTTTCTATCGCTGTGAAGAGACGCCATCACCACAGCAATAAAGGAAAAGCATTTAATTTGGTGGCTTACAGTTCAGAGGTTCAGTCCACTATCATCATGGTGGGACATGGCAGTGTGCAGGCAGACATGGTGCTGGAGAGGTAGCTGAGAGCCTACACCTTGCAGGCAACAGGAAATGAACTTAGGAACTGGGTGTGGTTTGAGCATGTATGAGACCTCAAAGCCTGACTCCACAGTGACACACTTCCTCCAAGAAGACCACACCTACTCCAACAAGGCCACACCTCCTAATAGTGCCACTCCCTTTGAGGGGCATTTTCTTTCACACCAGCACATCATCTCAACAGCTGCCAACAGGGTCCCAGCAGACAGATGCACAGAAATGGTTCTTTCTGCCAGCCCCACGTGGACAGAGCCTTTCTGCCTTCCCCACCTACGTGTCTGCTGTTGTTTTGGTTTTTGAGACAGAGTCTCACTATGTAGCTAGCCCCAGCTATCCTGGAACCTGCTATGTAAACCAGGCTGGTCTTGAACTCACAGAGGTCCACCTGCCTCTGCCGCCTGAGTACTGTAATTAAAGGCGTGAGGAACCATGGCTTGTGCCATCTATATGTCTCAACTTTTTCATGACCTCACCCGTAGACTGGGTACCTGGGTGACTTTGTCAGCCTATTCTCCTTATGCATATTGATGACAAAGGTAACCCACATCATGTAAAATCCAAGGAACAGGCCCTGACTGGTGGGAAGACAGCCATGGGCCCACCTGGCACCTTGAGGTGCCGGGTGTGTGGTCCTTATTATGCTAAGGAAATATGTGGTGGAGGAATGGGTGGGATAGAGAAACAGAATGGTTCATGTGCTGTAGAAAAATGCAAAAAGGAAAAAAGGAAAATGCCAGAGGCCTGTGTGCCACCCGGGACCATGGTGAAGGCAGTGAGGAACGGCCTGGTGGGGGAGGTCTGCTTGCCACCCGGGGCCATGGTGATGTCCTGGCTGGGCTGCTATCAAGGGCCATGTCTGAGTCCCTGGTCCTACAGTAGTGAGGAGCCATGCTGATGTCCATGGTTCCTGTTGCTGTCCAGTGCCATGCTGATTCCAGTGGGCTAGGCTGCCTCCTGCTGCTGAGGATGGTGTTGGGGTCCATGGTCTTACTGCAGCTGGGGTCTGTGCTGATGTCTGGGTCCCGTATTGCCACCAAAGGTTACACAGAAGCCCAGGGTTGAACCTGAGGTTTTGGTGGTAACCAGAAGCCATTGCCACCTGAGCGGCTGTTCCTTCCACCGAGAGCCGGGATGTCCGGGCCCAAGCTGCTACTGAGGGCCATGTCTGGGTCTGTGGTCAGCTGCAGCTGGGGTTCGTGTTGATGTCTGCGGCCTGTGTCACCTTAGGAGGCCTTAGGAACCATGTGAGATGAAATCAGAAGGCCATGCTGAGCCAGCCCTGCCCTTAGCTGGTCCTGGGAAAGCTGGCCTTGCCTCTCGCTGGACACCACAGTTAGAGAGCTGCACTCAGGAGAGATAACCCCACACCTCACCACAGGTAAGGGTGAACCAACCCTGAGGGCATGCATGTAAGGAGCTGACTTCACCCCTGCCCCAGTGGCCCAGACCGACCAACTTGGCTACCACCCAGGCCCATGACCTGGGCTGACTCATCCTAGCATCTACCCCATCTAGAACATACTGGTACTCATGGAGGGATTGGTCCTGTGGATCTCCAAGACTTGGGGTGACCACAGTATACCCCAGAGGAGTTCTGGTGAGGATCCAGTGAGGGTGGATTACCAGAAACCAGAGGCCTTGAAGCAGACCAGTGTCTCACTGCAATGGACATTTGTCACTCAAGCTGAGGGACAAAGGGTGTACTATAAGGCACACCGCAGCCTCCATTGCCACCAGGACAAATAGAGAGGTGTTGGAAAGCAGGAAAGAAGAAGCAGCTGGGTGGTGCTGGCGGCAGCTCCCACCTTTAATCCCCGCTCTAAGGAGGTAGAGGCAGGTGGAGCTCTGTGAGTTTGAGGCCAGCCTGATCTATGGAGTTCCAGGACAGGCTCCAAAGCTAAACACAGAGAATTCCTGTCTCAAAAAACAAAACAAAACAAAAGGAGAAGCAAAGAGAGATTTTTCTGTTGTTTTTGGTTTGGTTTGGTTTTGGGTTTTTTGTGTTTATTTTTTTTCTTTTCTTTTTTCTTGCTTGCTTACTTTGCTTTGTTTCTTTTGTGGGGGCATGGCAGGGATGAGGGGAGGGTATGAGGGGACCAGGAGGTAAGTAGAATTGCGGTGCATGATGTGAAACTTCCAAAGAGTCATTAAAGAAGTTGAAAAAGAAAAGAAAGCTCGCACCTTCAGTCCCAGCACTTGGGAGTCAGAGGCAAGAGAGTCTCTGGGTTCGAGGCCAGCCTGGTCTACAAAGCCAGGACTGTTACACAGAGAAACCCTGTAGAAGAAGAAGAAGAAGGAGAAGGAGAAGGAGAAAAAGACCACCCCCCCAAAGTCCAAGGAACAACGTGACCACGATGCAAGGACAGACAGAACATAAGTTTCCTTGTGTCACTTTTGCATCTGCTCCTGGGGAAAATCAAGCCATGTTGTACTTTCACCATGAAAGCCCAAATCTAATACAGTACTACTAGCAGTAGTAATAAGTAAGTTTAGTCAGTAAACTTACCAAACCATACAGAGGCCTTATAGCCATTGTTTCAAATGATCTTCCCTACTACCATCCCCATTCTGTTGAGAAGAGCTGTCTGTTTCTCTTGATTGACACAATATGACAAATTGGACCTGCAATGTCATGTGTAGTCTTAGTCTAAAGGCACCACTGGAAATAAATCCCTAAGAGAAAAGGCCACCCCAATTCCACCTTCTACCCCTCCACCCCGGAGTTTGCTGTTTCAACATCTACCTCTGACTCTTATTTCTGTCTAGCTTGCAGGATTTGAATTAAGTGAAACACAGGCTTCCATCAGTCGGGAGACAAAAACCACAAAAGCAGGGAGAATCCGTTCAGCAGCATATGTCTCCCCTCAGAGACTGAAAAATGTGTATTGTGTATATGACAGAGAAGCTGAAATATATAGGTATGTGCATGTTCTTGTACGGATTCTGACTCAGGCAGAAAGGACAGGACAGTCCCCGGTGAACTCCTCCTCTGAGGACCATCTTAATTCTGTCGAACAGGGGATGGAGTGAAGGTCCTAGCTTTGACCTAGCACGGGGTGTGGTGGGGTATTGCCTGGAATCTGGTAATTTTCTGAAATGACTGAAGGGGTATGGGAAAAGAAATGCATTACATGCTTACTTTCTTGGTTTTATCTTTAATTTTTTAAAGATTTATTTTTTAAAGATTTATTTATTTCTTAGCCGGGCGGTGGTGGCGCACGCCTTTAATCCCAGCACTCGGGAGGCAGAGGCAGGCGGATCTCTGTGAGTTCGAGGCTGGGCTGGACTGATAGCCTCCAAAACAATACAGAGAAACCCTGTCTCGAAAAACCAAAAAAAAAAAAAAAAGATTTATTTATTTCTTATTTTATGTGTATAAGTGTTATGTCTGTATGTATATGTGCCGTGTGCATATGCAGTGCCCACAGAGGCTAGGAAAGGGCATCTGATCCCCTGGAACTGGAATTACAGATGCCTGTGGATTGCCATAAGGGTGCTAGGATCCGAACCCAGGTCAGCAAGCGCTCTTAACCGTTGCCATCTGTGCAGCCCACTCTTTCCTTTTTTATTTTTTAATCTGGGTGTGTGTGTGTGTGTGTGTGTGTGTGTGTATGTGTGTGTGTGTGTGTGTGTGTCTGTGTGTCTGTGTCTGTCTGTGTGTCTGTCTGTGTGTCTGTGTCTGTCTGTCTGTCTGTGTCTGTCCGTGATGTGTGTGGAAGGGTGGCTTGCACATGCTATGGCACATATATGGAGTCCAGAGAACCACTTTTTGGGTCATTTCTCTCCTTCCACCTCTATGTGGTCTCTGGAGATCAAATTCAGCAAGCATGGCACAGAGAGTTCTTTGTGCACTGTGTCAGCCACCTGACAAGCCCTTGGTTTTCTTTTAGCTTCGGAATTGTGCTCTGGGAAATTGTCACTGGGAAGATCCCATTTGAAGGTAAAGAATATGAAGGCTGTCTCTGCTGGGGCTGTGGTTGGGTCCTCTTCTGAGAAATCAGAAATCCCCCATTAGTGCTGTCCTCGCCGCTCACTCCTCTGATGCAGGCATTGCCTGAACTGGTTAGTGGAGTCACTAGAAGCTCTTTTGTTTCCTTTTCTTTATTTTATTTTTCTTCAAGCTTGAAGTCCCTCGTTCTAACCCTAACTATCAATATCCAGAGAGAAGTGCGCGAATGGAATCTCTAAGCCTCCCATCCTATCTTTTCCATGGCAGGCTGCGATTCTAAGAAGATCTTCGAGCTGGTAGCTGAGGGTGGGAAGCAAGAGCCAGTGGGTGAAGATTGCCCCAAGCTGTTGCAGGAGATCATTGATGAGTGTCGGGCCTATGAGCCCACCCAACGGCCCTCTGTGGATGGTAGGTTTCTTTCTGGCATAAAGAATGCAAGCTGCACGTTTAGTTCACAAATGTGAAGGCTTTTTTTTTTTTAATGCTTCAAAAAAAGTAGTTCACACCCACAGGTAATTGTGCCCTTCAAGGGACATTTAATAATGTCTGAAAACACTTTTGGTTGTTGCAATTCAGGGGAAGGGGACGCAGGGTGTGCACTCTTGGCATCTGATGGAAAGAGGTTGGAGTGTCATTCGATTCATAGGACAGGGCTAGAGGTGTAGTTTAGTAGTACTGTGCTCACCTAGGACACGGGAGCCCTAAGTTCACAGCCCCCAGCACCACAAGCACAAAAGCTTAGCATGTAGCTCTCCAGTGTTCATGGTATTCCTGCCACCATAGCTAAGAGTGATGCAGCCCAGATGTCAGCAATGAAGGCTTCAGAGACTGGAAGCAGGTTTTCTCCAGTCTGTTCTCTCCTTCATCCCTCCCTCTCTTTCTTTGCCCATTCATTTCTGCTTTTCTCCCTCCCTTCCTTCCTTTCTTCTTTTTTCAGCATCCTTGGGATTATTTCTTAGAATTTTTTTTTTAGACAGGATCTCACTATGCAGCTCTGGCTGTCCTGGAACTCACAATGTAGACCAAGCTGGCCTTGAACTCACAGAGATCCACCTGCCTCTGTCTTCCAAATGTTAGAATTAAAGGTGTGGTGGCTTACTTACTTGTGTGTGTGTGTGTGTGTGTGTGTGTGTGTGTGTGTGATATGTCCTGAAGTGGGCATCAGTTGTCCCCTCTCCACCAACTGTTGAGGGTTAAGCTGGTCCAAGGCTTTCCCTGAGACCCTGGTGTATGGAGAAGGAAAATAGTTCCTTCCGTAAAACCAGGAATATGCTTGATAGAGTGAGTAATGGCCTGTGACCTGGGCCTTGGGAAAGCTGAGGTTTCAGATTCTAAGAACTCAACTCTTCCTGCTGTACAGAGCTATGGTTATCAGTCCCAAGCTGCTGTGTGTTTGGTCTGTAATGGTCTTGAGATATCCCTTGATTAACTTCCTGTTGACTTTGTCCCATTTTATGATAGTTTCTGCTAACTCTGTCCTGTGTCTCCCCTGGAAATAACATATAAGATGTTGTACTACCTAATAAGCTTACTTAATATAAGACATAGCTTAGGCAAGACCTCCCATCCCCAAACTTTCATATCTCCTGTATCTTCTGTTCTCTTTATCATCTGATCTCCTGGTCCTCGCTCTCAGAACCCTGTCACTGAAGAATGACCTGCTGGTCCAGGTCATCCACTTTTTCTTTTTGAGGCAGGGTCTGTTCTTGAACCTGGGGCCTTTATTTTCTCAGCCTGGAAGCCATCAAGCCCCAGTAGTCCTTTTGGCTCTGACCTCCTCAGAGTTGGGGTTGAAAGTGTGCCTGGATTATAGGCAAGCACTGCCATGTCTCATCTGGGATTTGGGTTTTCAGAGATGACATTTTAGGGGCACGTGTGCAGATGGTACCAGCTAGACCCGGCAAACGCAGTTTCTGTGTGAATGTATTGTCTACTGTAGACACGTGTTTGTGTTTCTAGCTTGGCTGTCAGGAACCTGGTCTTGTCTCACTTTCTGTTCATCCATTCATAGGAATCTTAGAGAGGCTGTCTGCAATTAACTGAGTTGTGTGTTCACACCTAACCGGAAGACTCCCTGGACAAGAAGCTGGAAGCGGAACAAACTGGACATGTGTCTTTCATATATGTTAATATCAAGTTTTGCTCGGTGCTAAATTCTTTTTTTTAATGGGGTCTCACATGTAGCCCCGGCTAGCTTAGAACTTGATATATAGAACAGACTAGGCATGGACTCAAAGAAATCTTCCAGTTTTGTCTTCTGAATGCTGGGAATACAGGCACGGGCCACCACACCTGGCAAAGTTCTTTTTTTTTTCTGGCAAAGTTCTTATTTGTTGCAAATAGAAAACAATTCCATGGGGCTGGAGAGATGGCTCAATGGTTAGAAGCACTGGCTGCTGTCCCAGCGTCCACATGGTAGTTCATAACTGTCTGTAACTCCTGTTCCAGAGAATCTGACACCTTATATAGATATGAAGGCAGGCAAAACGCCAATGCACATAAGATAAAAATAAATAAATTATTACAAAAAAGATTAGAAAGAAAACTGTTATGCCAAGTTGGTGAGACCCCCCAAAAAAGGACCACCAAGGAGCCGACTCACTGAAGCAAACCCATAAGGTTTGATGTTAAGTTACAAGCCTCAGCAGGGACTCCATCCAGCAAACTGACACAGCAGCTGCAGGAAAAGGGGTTCCTGGTCTCAATTTCAAGGGGTTTATAAAGGAAAAAACCGCAAGCAGTGTGGTACATGCCTTTACTGTTCAGGATTGGGTAAGAGTAGGTGACCTTTGAATTCATTGATATGGGGGCTAGGGGAATTTCAAAACTGTTACTAACAGATGTTATTTACCAAAATTAGTCATTGCCTGACTAATGCGGAAATATTAAGATATACAAAATAGGGATGTCTTATGATATTTTATTGAGAGAGAAATAACTTACGTGAAAAACCAAGAAAGCCAAGAATCAAAGGTGTGCACACTGCTCTCCAGGCCCAAAACCGGAACCCAAAGTGAGCAAGTCTCCTCCCCATAGCTCTTTTTATCCCTGTATGTTCTACATATCTGTGAACACACCCAAATGGGCGTGGTCAGTGCCACGGATACGTAGACCTCTCCCTACACCTGACCACCCGGATGGGGTCACTTTGTCCAGGGTGGGCACAGTTTGGGTGCTCCTTGGAACTGTTTATGGTTGCTTGGCTGGAGCTGAATCAGCCTTGTGCCACACAGGGAATTTCTCAAGGTGGCTTTTTCTGAGGATGGAGTTAACTCTGTCCTCTCCAGTTTACCTTGCTCTTACAAAAACAATTCCAGCCCAAAGCAGTGGTGCATGCCTTTAATACCAGCACTTAGGAAGCAGAGGCAGGTGGATTTCTGTTTGAGGGGTCTACATAGCAAGTTCCAGGGCTACACAGAGAGACTTGTCTCAAAAAACAAACAAAAAATTCCAGCTACAAATTCAGACTATTTGCAAAAGTTGGCAAATGGTAGCCGGGCGGTGGTGGCACACGCCTTTAATCCCAGAACTCGGGAGGCAGAGGCAGGCGGATCTCTGTGAGTTCGAGGCCAGCCTGGTCTACAGAGCGAGGTCCAGGACAGCCTCCAAAGCAATACAGAGAAACCCTGTCTCGAAAAAACCAAAAAAAAAAAAAAAAGTTGCTAAATGGTTTTATGTCCAGACCTCTTTTCATGATTTGATGGCTCCTATCAGGAAATGACACTTGAATCTGAGCTGGCTAATGGCTTGTTTATGTCAACAGAATGTGGAAGAAGTACCTGTGGACCCCTTCCTAGTCTAGACTTCACGAGGCTTTAAAACAGTCTCTCTCTCTTGAAAGAGTACCCAACCATGAGCAAGGGTGGTAGGCATACTGGAAGCTGAGGAACTACAGAGTCGATGCCAGTGGTCCCGTCTCAGTTCTGCCAAGCCAGCCACGCTGGCAATTGATCCAGCTGCATGTGTAAGCACAGTGAAGACCAAAGAACTACCCAGCTGAGCCCACCTCATTGCCAGTTTACAAAAACAGGAGCTAAATAAATACATTCCTGTATTAAGTCACTAAGTTTGGGGGTGTTTGTTACATAATCATAGTAAGAGTAAATGCTGCACAGCCCTTTCCTTTGCCCACTGAACTAAGTACAAAACTTGCCATTTGGATGCCCATGACCTGGCCTCTGACCATGTCTGACATTACATGGGATCATCCTTGTATTATAATTCCAGGTAAGAAATTTTTCAGATGCCATCCATCTCTACAGTGCAGAACTGAGCAGACATCTGACCTGAAGGTTAAGGTAGCAAACAAGACAGGATATACTGTGACCACAGAGTTGCCAAACCTTATCATCATGCTCAAATCTCCCATCTAACATTTGAAGACACAAGGGTCAATGCTTGCATTAAAGCTGCCTTCAGGTCCCTGAGAAGTAACCTCAGCATCCATTATCATAACGAAAAAGGTCAGAGGTGTTATCTACAGCAGAACTACTGGGAAACTAATAAAATGTTGCTCTATGACCTTCAAAATTAGTCATTTTTACAGTAAACTATAAACAATCAAAAGTTACATTTGCGTTTTCCCTCAGTTCGGCTGCCTCTAGATACTTTCATTCCCCCATAACTTACACTAAATAATACAACCCTAGAGCACATTTGGGTCTTTTTCTGTTAGTAAGCAATGTAGTAGAATTTATAAGCATAGGTTGTTGTCTTAGTTACAATTATACTGCTGTGCAGAGACACCATGATCAAGTTAACTCTTATAAAAGCATTTAATTGAGGGCTTGCTTATACTTTCAGAGTTTAGCCCATTATCATCATGGCAGGGAGCATGGTGGCAGGCAGGTGCTGGAGCAGCAGCTAAGAGCTACATTCTGATCTGTAGGCAGAGAGAGAGACAGACAGAGAGAGAGACAGAGAGAGACAGAGACAGAGAGACAGAGACAGAGAGACAGAGAGAGAAAGTTGTGGGCTTGGCATAGGCTCTTCAAACCTCAAAGCCCACCACAAATGACACACTTCTTCCAACAAGGCCACACCTTCTAATCCTTTCAAATAGTGTCACTCCCGGGAGACTAAGCATTCAAATGCATGGATGTGTGTGTGTGTGGGCCATTCTTATTCAAACCCCCACATCCCACTCCCAGGCCCCCATGGATGTGTAACCATATCATAATGTAAAATGCACTTTGTCCAACTTCAAAAGTTATTCACAGTCTCAACACTGTTTACAAGTCAGAAGTTCAAAGTCTCTTCTGGGACTCATGACAATCTCTTAACTGTTACCCCCTGTAAAATCAAAATAAAAAAAAGCAGACCACATACTTCCAACATGCAAAGGCACAGAATATACATTACCATTTCAAAAGAGAGGAGAGAGAGCATAGTGAGGAAATACTGGACCAAAGCAAGACCAAAAACCAACTGAGAAAGCTACAATTCTGCATGTCCATGCCAAAATGTTTTTCAGATCTCCATCTTCCTTCAGCTTTGTTGACTGCAACACACTTTTTTCTGTTGGGCTGGCTCCACACTGTCTTTATTAGAGTTTTTATTGCAGTGAAAAGACACCATGGAAACTCTCACAAAGAAAACATTTAGTTGGGATGACTCACTTACAGCTTCAGAGGTTCAATACATTGTCATCATGATGGAGAGCATGGTGACATGCAGGCAGGTGTGGTGCTGGAGCTGAGAGCACTTACACCTTGCAGGCAACAGGAAGTCAACTGATAGTCACACTGAGGGAAGCTTGAGCAAAAGAGATCTCAAAGCCCATCCCCACAGTGACACACTTCCTCCAACAGGGCCATACCCACTCCAACAAAGCCATGCCTCCCAAATAGTGCCACTCCTTGTGAGACTAAGGGTCATTTACATTCAAACTATCACATTCCACTCCCTGGTCCCTATAAACTTGTAACAATATCATAATGCAAAATGAATTTACTCCAACTTCAAAAGTCCCCATAGTCTATCACATTCTCAGCAATGTTTAAAAACCCAAAGTTCAAAGTCTCTTCTGAGATTCATGCAATATCTTAACTGTAATCCTCTATAAAATCAAAATAAAAAAGCAGATCATATACTTCCAATATATAATGACACATTACCATTCCAAAATGTAAGGAAGGGAGCACAGTGAGGAAATACTAGATCAAAGTAAAACCAAAAACCAGCGGGGCAAACTCCAAACTGCATCTTCATGTCTGATGTCAGAGCACTCTTTAGATCTCCAACTTCTTTCAGCTTTGTTGACTGCCACACAATTCTGTCTCTTGGGCTAGTTCCACTCCCTGTTAGTGGCTTTCCTTGACAGGTATCCCTCAACTCTGGCATCTCTAACATCTTGGGGTCTCCAAAGCAATCCAGGCTTCACCTTCACGGGAGGTCCCCAGGAAGGGAAATAGTTAAGATCTTCTGGATAAACTGGGAGGAGGGTAGAAGGGAGGGGATGGGGGATGGGAACATGAGGGATCAAGAAAAATAAGTTGGGGGAGGGATGGAGGGTGAGAGCAATGAAAGAGATATCTTGATAAAGGAAGCCATATGGTGTTAGGGAGAAACCTGGTGCGAGAGAAATTCTCAGAAATCCACAAGGATGACCCCATCGAACACTACTAGCAATAATGGATAGGGTATCTGAGTAGGCCTGCCCCTTTAATCAGATTAGTGACTACCCCAATTGTCATCACAGAACCTACATCCAGTTACTGATGGAAGCAGATACAGTGACCCACAGCCAAGCACTGGGCTGAGCTCCTGGAGTTCAGTTGAAGAGAGGGAGGAGGGGTCATATGAACAAAGGGGGTCAAGAGCATGACAGGGAAAACCACAGAGACGCTGACCTATCTGAGCTAGTGGGACTATAAACTAACAGCTGGGGAACCTGCATGGGAGTGAACTAGACCCTCTGAATGTGGTGACAGTTATGTGACTTGATCTGATGGGGGGTGGCCTGGCAGTGGCACCAGGACCTATCCCAGGGTCATGAACTGGCTCTTTGGAGCTCATTCCCTATAGGTGGATGCCTTGCTCAGCCTTGATACAGGGGGGAGGGACTTGGTCCTGCCTCAACTTGATAAGCCAGACTGTGTTGACTCTCTAAGGAAGGCCTTGCCCCCTATGAGGAGTGGATGGAGGTTGGGAAGTGGGGAGATAGAAGGGCAGGAGAAGGAAGGTGAGAGGAAGAGGGAACTGGGATTGGCATGTAAAATGAAAAATAACTTTTTAAAATAAGAAAAAGAAACACCATGATCATGGTAACTCTTACAAAGGAAAACACTTAATGGGGTGGCTTACAGTTTCAGAGGTTTAGTCCATTTTCATCATGATAGGATAAGGAAGCATGGAGACAGACATGGTGCTGGAGCTGAGAGTCCTACATCTTGATCAGCAGACAAGTGGCCTGAGACAATGGGCATGACATAGCATATATGAGACCTCGAAGCCCACCTCCACAGTGACACACTTCCTCAAACAAATCCATCCTATTCCATCAAATTCACACCTCCTAATAGTGCCACTCCCTATGACCTTATGGGGACCAGTTATATTCAAACTAGCACAACCACTAAATAGCCTCTCCAGTCCCTTTTGCTTCTTAGCACAGGTCCTTCCTCTGTAGTCCAGCTAGCCTGGAACTCACTGTGTAGCCCAGGCATATCCAAACTTACAGTGATCCTACTGTTTCTGTACCGTGAATCCTGGGATGTTAGGTGTGAACTAACACAACCAGCTAGGATTTAAATTCCTTACCAAGATTATTATTATCTGCCCGTGGTAATTTATAAGCAAACCTCCCTGACCTAGTATCTTCTGGTATATTTCTCTTCCATCATCTCCTGCCTTTGAGGGTCCCAAATTCCTTTCCTTTGAGGCATCATTTCTCCATAGATGTATTGTATTCTTGTTAACAATGCTATATATGGAAGAATTCTATGCCATTGCTTCTTAATTTTTATTTTATTTTTAAGACAGAATCTTACTTCATAACTCAGACCAGCCTGAATCTCAAGGTCTCCCCTAACAATCTCCTGAGTGCTAGGAGCACAGGGGGAGCCACCACAAGCAGCTAAGCCACTGTGTTTAGATGCTTGCCACTGAGCTTCTCCTACATGCTGGACACTCGCAAGGTTGGAACGCTTTGTTTTTCCCGCAGCTCATCTTTTGTTCCAACTGTGAGCTTACAAGGGTCCTGGAAGTATTGCATTTCCTCGCCCAAAGGCATTAAGTGTAAATCATGACTGTGTATCATATCAGAACCTTTAGAATGCTGACTTTTCACTGAGAATACCGTTGTCTAAATTTCTTTTTCCATGTGATATAGTACTAATGTATTATTATTATCATTATTAAAGTCCTGGATGTTGAACCCAGGGCCTGACAGATGCTAGATAAATACTATACCACCATGGCATACTTACTAATTTCTTAATTGAAAAATTTCCAGGTTACTCAGTATTTGATAATGTGCATATATATGTATGTATATATATATATATATATATATATACACATATGTATGTTTTTTTGAGACAGGGTTTCTCTGTAGCTTTATAACCCGTCGTGGAACTCACTCTGTAGACCAGGCTGGCCTCGCACTCACAGAGATCTGCCTGTCTCTGCCTCCCAGCACCCTGCTTGTTTTTTGTTTTTTGAGACAGGGTTTCTCTGAGTAGCCCTGGCTATCCTGGAACTCACTCTATAGACCAAGCTGGTCTCAAAAACACAGATTAAAGGTATGCGCCACCACTGCCTAGGCAATGCCCAGGTGAAAAGTAATTTAGTGTTGGAGAGCTAGAGCATTGGCTGCTCTTCCTGAGGACCTGGCTTCAATTCCCAGCAGTCACATGGCAGTTCCAGGGGATCTGACACCTTCACAAAGACATACATGCAAGCAAAACACCAATGGACATAAAATACAAATAAATAAATAAATAAAATTGGTGCTGGCCTTGGTAACAAGTGTAGAGGAGAAAAATGAAAAATTATTTCTATTGTCCTCTACTAAAAATTGGTAGCTGAATAAAAATGTGGCAATGTACAGTCTGTGTCTGAAGTTTTGCTTTTAAAAACCTGTAAGTGGGGCTGGAGAGATGAATCAGTGATTAAGAGCACTGGCTTTTCCAAGAGGTTCTGAGTTCAGTTCCCAGCAACCACATGGTGACTCACAACCATCTGTAATGAGATCTGGTGCCCTCTTCTGGCCTGTAGGGATACATGCAGGCAAAACCCTGTCTACTTAATAAAAAAACAAAAGAGCACTGGCTGCTCTTAAAAAACAAACAAAACCCCAAAAACCTATAAGTAAGATTTCTTCTTTCAGAGACATGATTGAAAAAAATCTTGCGTGACAATTTAGGCTTTCCAGGCAATTTATTGGAGTAGTTTTAAAATGAAGAAATTGTGCAAATTCCTTTTTTGACCATTGAAGACAAGCTGCTCAATCCTGTAAGACAATGTATATGAACTGAGACTCCAGAATTCTGGGGACAATATTTTGATATTGATAAACTACTATATATTATTTAACAAAGAAGCAGAGGGATTCACTTTTTTTTTTCGAGACAGGGTTTCTCTCTGTGTTGTTTTGGAGCCTGCCCTGGAACTCGCTCTGTAGACCAGGGTGGTCTCGAATTCACATAGATCCGCCTGCCTCTGCCTCCCGAGTGCTGGGATTAAAGGCGTGTGCCACCAACGCTCGGCGGTACTCACTTTTAACAGTTTCACTTTCATTACAAAAACGGATGGAGAGCTCTCTTTTTCCGGTCTTCTTCCTGCTAGACTGTTCAAATGCAGAACGGTTTTAATAAACAGAAAAGAAGAACAAGAAAAAAAAAAGAAAGAAAGAAACAAAACTTTTAGGCTCTATCCCTTTAGGGGCTGGGCACGAGATGACGGGCATGAATTTCTACCAATTGTATGAGGCTTCCTCGCATGAAGTTCTGGCCAAGTAAGTATCGAGAGCTGGCCAATGAGAGTGCCACTATTTCAGTCAGCGGCGACCAATGAAAGAAGAAGAGAGGGGATTGGTCGTCGCTCTTGGTGGCTGGCCAATAGGAGCTCGCTGATTCGCGGCTCGAGCGAGAACTGCAGAGTTGTTTGGCGCGGATGCAAGCTGGGTTTTGCGCGGTAACGACATCAGAAGTGGCGGGCGGGCTGGGCGTTGGACCTGGCCCCTGCAGTGTGAGGTGAGGCGGATACCTGCAGCTCCTCGGGCCGCGTGTCCCTGCACGCGGATTGTCTTCTCTCGGCCCGTGCATGGTCGCGGGGCCTAGTCAGGTTGGCTAAGGGCGGGTTGGGAACTCAGCGGTCTCCTTCCTTCCGGAGCAGCTCCTTGAACCTTCTTCCTTGCATTCCCGAGGAATACGGGAGTCGGGGACGAGAAAGGCGGAAACGACGTGCTCTCCGGAAGGAGCTGAAGCTGGGTTCCGCTTGCTCAGGTTGCGGGCCCCGGACGGCGTAGTTCTCCAGGTGCCCCCCAGGTACTCACTGGCTCTTGTTACTCGCTGTTTAGCAGAACTGAAAATTTCCCACCATCCCTCCAGTGTAGCAGTGACGTAAGTGTTTTCATGATCTCTTTTCGGCGGGTGAGTAGGCTTGGATAGACAGGAAACTTACTTTGGGTTTTTCAGGTACTAAAAGGGGAGCCTGGATCTGAACCCAGGTCAAACTGAATGCCCACGGCCTCCCGACGTCCTGTTTATTGGGGGCCGTACCCCCTCCCCGCCCTGTGGTTTCCAAACTTCCTTGTAAGATTGCAGATGTGAAGTTCATGTGGTTTTGGGGGGGTTGTTTGTTTTGTTTTTTCGAGACAGGGTTTCTCTGTAGCTTTGGAGACTGCCCTGGAACTCGCTCTGTAGACCAGGAGGCCTCGAACTCACAGAGATCCACCTGCCTCTGCCTCCCGAGTGCTGGGATTAAAGGCGTGCACCACCAACGCCCGGCCAAAGTTCACGTTTTGGGGACTGCTGACATTTCGTGGCCACCAGACTAGCGTTTTTGTAACGTGCTGAGGGTAAAGAAGAAGTGGCGGGGCCCGAGCGTTTGTTTTAGACAAAATCCTGGGTTCGTGTACAGGATTTGGGGGAATTGTCGTGTTTATTGCTTTCTACCAATGCGATCGAGGAACGGACTTAATTGTAAACTTCAAATGACCTCCTGTAGGAAGTAATGTTCAGAGTGGATGGACAGTTGTGTGTCCCTGCATTCTGCCTTTATTGATCCGGTCCTGCCTTCTGTTTACATAAGTGTGAAGTGATGTCTCCAGAGGGCATCAATAAGTAATTTAGGCATGCTTGTTTGTGGCATTTCCCTCTGGAGCCCGGGCTGCCCTCAAATTTGAGGCAGTCCTCCTGTCTCTGCCTCCCTAAGGATGGAGTTACTGTTTTGAGACACTAAGCAATGGCAGGGCCTTTTGTTTAAGATGATTCTGGTGAGGATGTCGTTAAACCTTAGAACCACATTAAAAGTGTTGGTTTATGTGGGTTTTTTTTTTTTGAGGAAGAGTAAAGATTTTTTAAAAAGCTTATCTCCTTTTTTGCATAAAAGGTAAAGTTGCTAGGTTCTTTTATAGAAGTCTATTGGAAGCCGGGCGTTGGTGGCGCACGCCTTTAATCCCAGCAACTCGGGAGGCAGAGGTCTACAAAGCAAGTTCCAGGACAGCTTCCAAGACAATACAGAGAAACCCTGTCTCGAAAAACCAAAAAAAAAAAAAAAAAGTCTATTGGAGTTTTAGTAATATATAGGGCCTGGTATGTTCTTAGTTGTAGTTTTGGTTTATCGTTTGGAGTGTTTTTCCTTGTAGTTTTGAGAAGTCGAAGATACAGTATCAGTTATGAAATCGATGCTGTGTGTAATTCTCTGCTGTTACCTTCCAGTTGAAATCAGAACTGGTTGCTCTCTAGGCATGAGATGAGAGGAAATTTCATTTTAAAATATAGAACCATGCTGAAAATAAAAAATTCTGTGCATTCAGTACTAAGAGTTAGTGAGTCTTGGACTTTATTTTAATTAATTAAATTTATTTACTAAAATAAGGTTTTGCTAAGTAGCTCGGGTTTTTGAAACCTGCTTTGTAGTTCAGACTAACCCAATTCACCATTCTCCTGCCTCTGCCTTTGCCGTTCTGGTACTAGGATTACAGATATGTCACCAAGTCCAGCAAGTTTGGCTTTGATGTGATTGTAATGTGTGCCTGGATTAATCGAAATACCTGTGTATACTATGCTACTACTAAACGTCAGTCCCCAGTTTTTCCTCAAAGAAATTTAAATTTCATCTTGCAAATGTAAAAATGTCTTCTGTGACGTGGCTGAGAGTAGATGGGTGGGCAGAGCTAGGTAGTAGAAGCAATATGCTTAGTGTGTGCAAAGCCCTGTATTTGGTCCTCCAGCACCACATGTACCAAAAAATGGCATTTCTGTATATCCTTTGTTACTTTTGATGCTACGAAAGATTGGTGTTACCTGTTATATGCAGCATTTTGTTTGTTTTGATAAATGTATGTATGTAGATTGAGACAATTGCAGGCTTTCTGGGAGATTACTTTTGGATACAATACTTAAGCCTCCTAATTATAGGTCTTTTTATTTTGGGGCATACTATGATTATAGGAAAATGGCTGTAAATGGTTTGGTCTGGTCTTGTTTTGTAGTCCAGGCTGACCTTGAATTCATGGTGATCCTCCAGGCTGGTTGCCAAAACATTTCTTTATTAATTAAAAAAATTTTTTTATGGCCTCTGTTTTGCTAAAAAAGAATCTTAAACAGGAATTCTGAAAGACTGGTTATATCAACTATATAACATGTTCTTTTTTGTTTGTTTGTTTAGTTTTTAACCTGTTTTACTAATATGTTTTACAAAATACTCTATCCCTAGTGATGGCTCATGAAGCAATGGACTGTGATCTTCAAGTACCATTAGATGGTACTGTAGAGCAGGCTCCTGCATCTGAAGTTGCCAGCCAAGGGACACCTCTCCTCCAGCCTGCCCTTGCTGAAATGGTCAATAGCCAAGGAGGAGCCCTTGGTCAGCCTGCGCCTGCTGAAGTGGTCAGCAGCCAAAGTGGACTGCACCCCCTACAGCCTGTGCCACCAGCATCCATTGATTTGACAGAGGAAATACAGCCCTCAGAAGAAAATATGGAGACTGCCAATCCAGGAACTTCTGAGGAGCATGGACAGGGATCTGATGCTAACCAAACTGTCCAAGCTGCTACGGAAGCTTCAATGAACAACTTCATCAGTGGGCTGCAGAGACTTCATAACATGCTGGAATTGCTGAGACCTTCACCTTCAGTCCATAGTGTGGGGCCAGTGAGAACACGGAGAAGAGCGGCATCTATTTTGAGGGCAAGAACTGGAGGGTCTCAGAGGCCAAATGCTACCAGGTAAACTATATAACTGTTAATGTTATATGATTACTGTTAATGTTAAATGATTGACGCCACACACTCTATGAATTGTAAAACTCAGATTCTGGTCACACCTCCAGTGCAACCAAAGTTAACTTTTTCAGAGTCCCCACTTCCTGATAGATCGGATAAAATTAGTGCTTGCCTTGTTTACTTCTTTTAGTATTGAGGAGGTAGTTTTGGTGATGTGCTTTGAAAACCAGAGGCAAGTTTATCAGCAACAGTATTTATGAAAGGTTGGCCTTTTTTATTTTTTATTTTTATTATGTATACAGTGTTCTGCCTCACCATGTGGATGCTGGGAATTGAACACAGGACCTCTGGAAGAGCAGCCATCTCTGCAGCATCCCCACCACCACCTTTTATTTTTTAATTAAAATGTTTTCACATATGTATGAGTGTGCATGGGTATTGAGGCAGGATCTCAGTTGAACCTAGAACTCTCCCATGTGGCTAGGCTAGCTAACTAGCTTTCTCTGGGAATCTCTTGTCACCATGAATTATAAGTGGCCTTTCCCACGTTTACAGATGTTCTGGGTATTTGAACTCTAGTCTTAGGCTTGAATGGCAGGTGATTTACCTGCTGAGCCGTCTCCCCAACCATGGTGTGCTCCACTTAAAGATTGATTTATTCTGATATCGTGATACATGCCTTTAATCCAGCCCACTTAAAGATTGATTTATTCTGATATCGTGATACATGCCTTTAATCCAGCCCGTGGCAAGCAAATCTCTGTAAGCTTGAAGATAGCATGCTTTACATAGACTCTGTCTCAAAATACTAATACTAGGGGCTGGAGAGATGGCTCAGAGGTTAAGAGCACTAGTCTGCTCTTCCAGAGGACCCGGGTTCAATTCCCAGCACCCACATGGCAGCTCACAACTGTCTGTAACTCTGGTTTCAGGTGATCTGATACCAATGCAAATTAATAAATAGTTTTAAAAAAATACTACTACTACTACTGCTGCTGCTGCTGCTAATAATAATAATAATTTAATTATGAGGGGTGGATTGTAGAACAGGTGTTGAAAGATGTGTCAACCAAGCCATTTGATGGATAGCCATGTGACTTTCTGCAAGTGAGTAAACCTAAAAAGTCCAAGGCTCTGCAATTCCCTGGAAAGAACATGGATTCCCTAACAAGATAAATTCAATATTAAAACATTTTCCCCCGATACTGTGTTCCAAGCAAATTTTACACTAAATTTGTATAGCTAAATTTTCCTAGGACTGTTTGCTTCAGATTTATGAACTATGTTTTTGTGCTTTGTTTGTTAGACTTAGCCAAGAGGCCAATTTGAGGAAAAAAATTAAATAGTGAGCTGATATACGCCAAGGTTACAAACTCTGTCCTGCTCGATTCTAGCTGCCAAAGCCATCATTTATTCATCAAATATTATAAGTAATATGTGAAATTGAATTTTATCCTAGAGATATTGATAGATGAGAGTACCTGTTATCACAAAGCTAAGGACTACAGATGATAAAGAAAATCTAAGTGTATTCTTTAACTCAAGAACAGGGTGGGGGGCTGGAGAGATGGCTCAGAGGTTAAGAGCACCGACTGTTCTTCCAGAGGTCCTGAGTTTAATTCCCAGCAACCACATGGTGGCTCACAACCATCCATAATGAAATCTGGTGCCCTCTTCTGGTGTGCAGACATACATGGAGGCAGGATGTTGTATTCATAATAGATAAATAAATCTTAAAAAAAAAAAAAGAACAGGGTGGGCTGAAGAAATGGCTCAGGACTTGGCTGCTGCTCCAGAGGACCAAGATTTGAGTCTTAGTATTCATATAGCAGCTAATAACCATCTAATAACCCCAGTTCCACAGGATCGGGTGCCCTTCTGGCCTTTGTACTACACGCAGGTGGTACACAGACATACATGTAGGCAAAATGCCATAAATGTAAAAAAAAAATCTTAAGAGACCAACCAGTGTGGTGCATGCCTTTAATCCCAGCACTTTTAGTCCCAAAATGAGGATGGATATCTTATTTTAAAAACAAAACAAAGCCAGGGGGTGGTAGCCCATACCTTTAATCCCAGCCCTCAGGAGGCAGAGGCAGGTCTGTCTCTGAATATGAGGCCAGCATGGTCTACAGATGGAGTTCCAGGACACCCAGAGCTACAGAGAAACCCTGTCTCAAAAACAAAACAAAACAAAAAAACAGAAACAAAAAGAACTAAGCTTAATTTAAAACAGGCATAAAATGATTTCTTTAGTTTTAGGAAACCCCTGACTAAGGAGCTGTATCAGATTTTGTAGAGTTTACCTACTATGCACTGAGTCCTGAATTTGATTCCCAGCATCAATGAATTGGGAATGGTAGTGTATACCTTTAATCCCAACACTTGAGAGGTAGACCAGGAAGATCAAAAATTCAATGTCATTCTTGGAAGCCAACTAGGCTACTTGAGACCTAGTCTATTAAAACAAACAACAAATAACCATATTAGGTGTGGTGATGCACGCCTTTAATACCAGCACTTGGGAGGCAGAGGCAGGTAGACCTCTGTGAGTTCAAGGCCAGCATGTTTGAGGCTCCATTATGAGACACAAACAAAATGTTCCAGCTCAGGAACTCTGGACCCTGTGCTTACTAGGCTCTGTACCAGAAAATAGAAGAATAAGGAATCTAAGGAGTGCTTAGTAAAGTAAAACTAGTGAATCTTGGTACATTTTGTAATGCTCCCTATTGTCATCCCTTTGTCTAGACCCATGGTAGCCTTGCAAATAGACTGTTTGGCAGCCACTATGGGGAGCTCAGTGCTGTTGGAATACAAGGTCTATTTGGAGAGAATACTCATGGGCTCTGTTTGGTAATTGGTTTCCTGAAGCCCCATGATTGAATGGAGAAAAATGTATATTTAGCCAATATTTGCCTAATCGGCTATTTTTCTCTCTTTTTAAAGTTATATATATTTTATTTAAGAAATTATTTTAAACTATGTGTCTGTGGTGGGGGAACTGTGTAGGCATATGTATGAGAGTCCAGAGGCATTGGATCTCGTAGAACTGGAATTACAAATGATTGTGAGCCTCCATTGGATCTCATAGAACTGGAGTTTCAAATGATTGTGAGCCTCCATGTGGGTATAGGGAACTGAACCAGGGTTCTCTGAAAGACCAATACGTTCTCTTAACCATTGAGCTATCTTTCCAACCCAGTTCTATTTTTATGTATACGATCGTTTGCCTGTGAGTGTACGATATATATGCCTAGTGCCCATCAAAGTCAGGAGACACATCTGGAGCTACAGATAGTTGTAAGCTGTCGCATGGGAACTAGGAACCAAACCCAGGTCCTTTGTAAGAGTAACAAGTGCTGTTACCTGCTGAGTCATCTTTTCCAGCCCTATAATATGTTAGTTTCCACTCAGATTTCAAAAGAAGCATTTAATGGCCTTGAAATAGGTTGAGATAACTAGAATTGTCTTCACATCATCAGAGAATAATGTTGCAACGGTGGTCCATTGTACTGCAATTTTTTTGTCTCCATATACATACAGGTTAAGAACACCAGTATATGCCTACTTTCAGGTAAGCAGGTCTCAGCCTTATGTACCGGCCACTGCTCCTGCTTCAGAGACTAGGAATCCAACATCAGGTACTGATTCTGACAGTGACAGCTCTGAAGAGAATGAAGAGGTTGTTGTCCAGGCAGAAGAACCTGAAGCTAACATCCCAGGTCTGTATTTTATACAGATTTGTATTCCCAAAACTAAAATCCACATGACATAGATAGCTTTCACTGGCTATGGTGACTTAATCAAAAGACTTTAATCTGTCTCATAATTTTCTGTGTTTTGTTTTCCAACAAATCAGTCCCTTTGTAATAATACTTTACATTCCCTTTCATTTTTTTATACTGCAGTAATCCGCCTGAGATAGTTACTGACCACCACACTAATTAAGCCAGTTGTTAGAACCCTTTAATAATGGCTAGACCAAAAGTAGGCTAACACCTCCAAAATGTCTCTTGGTGCCAAAGTACATCATTTTTAAAGACAAACCACAATTATATCAGTGTTAGAGGGGATTGAAGTGAGTAGTCTTGTAACATCTTTTCCCAGAATTTAGCAGTATTTTCCAGATATAACATGACAGTTATTGATGTATGCATCCTTTAGTTCTATTAGCTTTATGTTTTAGCTTGCATAAACATTTAATTATTTTGGCTAATACATCTGGACCATGGTCAGGGTCATGGATAATACCAAAAGTATTGCCAAGGTGGATGTGTCTAGAAGGCTGAGAAGTGTCTGGGCAGACACAATGGCTTCAGGACAAGATAACATTGCCTTAGTCACTTCAGTACATCTGAGGAAGTGGACTGTATATTTAGAAATTTTGTGTGCCTATGTTGTTGGTACAAATGCTATGATACCATCACTTTGGAGGCTGCAATAGGACACGGAGGCTGCAATAGGACAATGTGAATGTAAAGCCAGCTTGGGCTATATAATGATAAATTTATCAGTCTGAGTGACTTTCGAGTCTTAGTATATTTTGTGTAAATGGAATTTTATTTAGCAGTTTGTGAGCAGAGACCCCCTAAAGTAGATGTCCTGTTTTTACATTTAAAACTCACTAATACCCAGATTGTGTTCTTTAAATAACTTTTTCCTTTAAAATTTTTTTAGATATCTTTAAATTTTTATTTTATGTTTATAAATGTTTTGCCTGCACATATGTATGTGTACCATGTACGTGCCTGTGCCCAAGAAGAAGACATTGGATTATCTGAAACTAGAGTTATATTAATGGTTATGAGCCCCACCATGTGGCTGCTGAGAACTGAACCCCAGTCCTCTGCAAGATCAGCAAGTGCTCTTAATTGCTGAACCACATCTCCAGACCCTGTTTTTGTTTTTATTTTTTGATTTTTGAAAACAGGGTTTCTCTGTAACAGCTCTGGCTGTCCTGGAACTTGCTTGGTACTACAGCCTAGCCTCAAACTCAAAGAGATGTGCCTGCCTCTGCCTCCTGATGCTGGGGTTAAAGGCATGTACCACCACCACCCAACCATGATGTCTTATTTGTAGCACGTGTAGTTATTTTTACTGCGTGTTCTTCATTGGAATTGTTGGTGGGAATAATTTTGTGCCCAATATTAGAAAAACTGATTTGTTCTTATATTTTTGATTGTGAGCCTAGCCTTTAAAGGCTGAGCCATCTCTCCAGCCCAGAAAAACTGTTTTTTTTTCAGATGTGGTGGTGGTGGTGGTGGTGGTGGTGGTGGTGGTGGTGACATATGCCTTAAATCCCAGCACTCTGGAGGCAGAGGCAGGTGGATGGATATCTGTGAGTTCAAGGCAGCCTGGTTTACAGAGTGACTTCCAGGAGAGCCAGGACTACCCAGAGAAACCTTGTCTCGAAAAGTAAAACAAACAAAAATACATATAGTGAAAAAGATGAGAATTAATCAACTGTAAAGAGCAACCTTAAAACTCTTGGGGAATTTTTAATATAAACTAGGTAATTGTGTTAGATGGTATTACAAAGTTACTATTTTCAAGGAATGTTAATGTGATTTATATAAAAAAAGTTTTTATTGGTATTGTAAAGGATTTTACAGTCAAACATACTAAAACAATGGAATAGGGCTTAGAATTTGTGTGTTTTTTTTATTCTTTAGACAAATTTTATTTGTATAAATATATTGCTTGCATATATGTATACTACATGTATGCCTACTGCCCAAGAGGGTATCTGGTTCTCTCTGGAACTGAAGTTAGGATGGCTGTGAGCTATCATGTGTATGTTGGGAATTAAATCTGAGTGTTCTGCAAAAATATCCAGTGATCTAAACAATCTCTCTAGCCCATGATTTGATTTTTAAATTGAGTGTTGGATGTTTGTAGATAATAATGTTTTGTCCACTTATGGAATATCCAAAATAAGCAAATAGTAATAATAAGGCACTGGAGTTAAGCAACTGCAGTGAGGCTCCCTTGTTAGCTTCTAGCACCTAACTAACTTCTGCTTTTATATGTTATCTATGCTACCGTTTCTGGATACAACATGATAGAACAAGGAGTTATCTCAGCAGAACAAGAAGCAGCATCTGTCACAGGAGGTGATGCAGTCCTTAAGGAGGTAACATGAATTTTCTTCCTTTTTTTCTACCTTTCATTTGTCTTGATATAAGGCTTTATATGGAGGTAGTCTGACTTTTAACTCAGATTTCTCCATCCTCAGTCTACTAAGTGCTAGCTAGGGTTTCAAGCATATGATACCACATCCTTTTAAATGGAAAGTTAAGGTTTTCATTTTAAATGACTGCAGGTTAAATTGGAAAAAGCTTTGCAGGCTTTGTGGATGAGAACTCCATTTGTGGTTTCTGTTTCACTTATTAGTTGAGTGACTGCTTCCTCACCCCTCCCTTTTTTTTTTTTTTTTTTTTTTTTTTTTTGCTTCCTGAGACAGGGTTTCCCTGTGTAGCCTCGACTGTACTAGAACTTTGAGACCTGACTGCTTTTGCCTCTCAAGTGCTAGGATTAAAGATGTGCACCACCACCTGGCTGTGATTGCTTCTTTTTAATATGACTGCCTCCTCTCATGCTTTTTAAATGCCATTTAAAAAAATTATAAAAAAATAACAAGCAGAATGTGATTACTATGTGACTAAAATCTTGTTTGAGACAGAGTCTCACTATGTAGTCCTGGCTTTACCTGGATCTCATTGTATAGACAATACTCACCTGGAATTCATAGAAACCCCCCCTGTCTCTACCTCCCAAGTACTAGCATAAAAGGCATGCACCACCAGGCCTGCCTTGCTTGTTTGTTTTGGGACAGTCTTGCTAGGTAGCCCAGACAGGCATTGTTTTAGCATTTATTTGCTTCTCATCATAGAATACATTTTAGTCGATTCCCTGCTAAGAACATTGTTGCTCTTTTCCCCCTCCTTTTTAAAGTTTTTCTGATATAAGTCAAAAGCATTCTTGGGCAGTTATCTTAACAAATAATTGTGTTTATATTCATGAGATATTTCTAGCAGAGATTGCTATATCAAAGAAAGTGTTTTAATGTTGATAGACAAGACTTGCATTTGAAAATGTATGCAGCCTAATACCCACAGCAACAGAATATAAGCATGTCTGGTTTCTTATTGAGACAGGGTCTCACTTGGTACTCCTGATTGGCTTACTAAGTAGCTCAGGGTGGTCTTTGAATTTATAGTATTGCTATTGTCTCAGCCTCCCAAGTCCTGGGATAACAAACATATAGTAGTGATTGGTATCAGCAGATAGCTATTTTTTGCCTGTCTAATAAATAAAAAATAGTTTCTTTAGTTGCATTTAGTAACTATAAATAATTGCCTATTGATCAGTGTGTGACTTTGTTAAGATTTTTATGTTCTTTGTTTTCTCATAGTCTACTTTGTATGGAATAAGCTGAATATTTTATGTCTATAGGAGTTAATGATTAGTTTAGTTTTGCATGGATAAAGAGTTTCCTTGACACTGGGGAGGTAGAAGCAGGCAGATTTCTGTAAGGTCAAGGACAGTCTGGTTTACAAAGTCAAGAAACAAAACAAATAAAATGCACACACACGTGCACACACACACGCGCACACACACGCGCACACACACACGCGCACACATACACACACACACACGTGAATGTGTAACAACAATTAAAAAGAAGCCATAAATTTGAGGGAGGGCACTCAAGTACATGCTTCAAAATCTGTCTCCAAAAAGTAAAAAATAGCCTACCTACTACCTGTTGTTAGACTGGTAACAACTTTTCTTTGTTTAGACTAGAAAAGAAAAGAATCAAAGAATCTTGTAAGATTGAAAATGGGGGAGAGATGGCTCAGAGGTTAAGAGCACTGACTGCTCTTCCAGAAGTCCTGAGTTCAATTCCCAGCAACCACATGGTGTTTCACAACCATCAGTAATGAGATCTGGTACCCTCTTCTGGCCTGTGGACATACATGCAGGCAGAACACTGTATACATAATAAATAAATAAATCTTTAAAAAAAATTGAAAATGGGATGCCAGAGAGGTAGCTCTTTCATTGGTAAAGGCATTTCCTGAGACCCATGATACAGGGAGCCAACCCCCAAAAGTTGTCTTCTTAACCCCACATGAAAGACTAAATTAATGGATGTAAAGAAAAAGTATGCCAGGTGTGGTGGTGCATGCTTGTAATCCCAGCACTGGAAAGGCTAAATTGAGAGAATCTGAGCTGGAGAGATGGCTCAGAGGTTAAAAGCACTGACTGTTCTTCCACAGGTCCTGAATTCAATTCCCAGCAACCACATAGTGACTCAAAATCATCTGTAAGGAGATCTGGTGCCTTCTTCTGGCCTTCAGAGGGCCAGAACATGTAGACAGAACACTGTGTACATAATAAATCTTTTTAAGAGAGAGAGAATCTGATTTTGAGGCCAGTATGGGTCAATATTCAGGTCCTTTGTCCTCTGGAAGAGCAGCTAGTTCTCTTAACCTCTGAGCCATCTCTCCAGCCCTCAGGTCCTTTCTCAAAAATAGCAAAAAATTAGTATTACTGGGATTCAGCTTGATGGTAGAAGACATGTTTAGCATGTATAAGGTTTCACTTCACCCTAGAAATAGATATACTTAGCATACAATGTATATTTTGTCAGATTGTATTTTTAAAAATGATATGTATCTAGTAGGTGTTATACATTCTTTATGGCTTTTCAGTTAGTTTACATCATTTTGGTGCAGTTTTATTTGGTAGTTTGTACTCGAGACTGTTTTGCACTTTCTCACTGGGATGCATTTCAACTTTAATCCAGCAGTCTCCCCAGAAACCCAGCGTTCTACCTTCTGTGGACAATGATGAAGAAGGGGAAACTTGCACAATATGTTTGGAACAATGGACCAGTGCTGGGGACCACCGTCTCTCAGCCTTACGCTGCGGGCACCTCTTTGGCTATAAATGCATTTCTAAGTGGCTCAAAGGACAAACACGAAAATGTCCTCAGGTAAGGACCATAAACAAGGACTATGTATTGAGTCAGAATCCCTAGAACTGTATTGATTGTGTCTTACTGGACTCTTTAGTGCAACAAGAAAGCCAAGCACAGTGACATCGTCGTCCTTTATGCCCGATCCCTCAAAGCTTTGGATAATAGTGAACATGAACGCATAAAAAGGTAGGTAAGGGCTGGTGAGATGGTTTAGTTGATAAGGCACTTGCTCCTCCCAAGCCTTACTCAGCAAATTGAATAACCAAGACCTGTATGATGGAAGGAGAGAACTGACTCCTGCACCTCGTCCTCTGACCGCCAAACACATGTATGTATTCAACACAGTAAGTGTGATAAAAGGGGGGAAAGTTTTAAAATCTGTCTAGCTAGAGTGTTTTGTTGTTATTTTGCTTTTTATTTGTTTCTTGGGTGTTTGTTGTTTTTATTTGTGTGTGTCTGTGTGTGTGTGTATATGTTTTGTTTTTTTCAAGGCAGGGTTTCTCTGTATAGCCCTGGTTATCCCGGAACTCACTCTGTAGATTAGGCTGGCTTTGAACTCACAGAGAGAATTAAAGGTGTGCACCACCACTGCTGCCTGGGTAGACTTCTCTAGTTCTTTGTGGTGCCTGTTTAACCCATCTGCTTGCTGCCTATACAAGCCTTTGACTGCTCCCAGGACTAGGAGGATATACAAATTCAATATGAGATCCTTTTCTTTATCCAGAGGCACTCTTTGCATTTTTCTTTTCTTTTCTTTCTTTCTTTTTTATTTTGGAGACAGGGTTTCTCTGTAGCTTTTGAGGCTGTATCGCTCTTGTAGACCAGGCTGGTCTCGAACTCACAGAGGTCTGCCTGCCTCTGCTTCCCGAGTGCTGGGATTAAAGGTGTGCGCCACCACCACCGGCTCTTTGCTTCTTTTTAAGTATATCTGATAAGGAAATTATCCATCTACTTTGGTATGATGCTGGGGTTTTACTTACTTCTGATTTAGGATTTCTGAGGATCTTTGAAGTTACAATCTCATCACTGTTACTTATATAATCACATTCTACATGATGTTTTCTATACAGAATTAAAAATGTGAGACTGGAAGCCAAGTGTGGTGGCTCACACCTTTAATCCCAGCACTCAGGAGACAGAGGCAGGCAGATCTCTGTGAGTTTGAGGCTAGCCTGATCTATATAGAGTTCTAGGATAGTCAGGGCTACATAGAAAGACCCTGTCTCTAAAAACTAAAACAAGACATGAGGCTGAAATTGGGAAATACAGCTTGGTGATAGAGCACTTGCAAGACCCTGGATTTCATCTTAGCACTGGGGAATAAAAATTTTTTAATGAAAATCTGGTGTGGCATGGTTGTCTACACCTGTAATTTCAGCACTTTGGAGGCTAATACAGAATTATGGGAAATTAAAAACCAGACAGCGATTAATGAGCTCCAGACCATATTGAAAATCATCTTTTTGTTTGTTTGGAGGCTTGTTTTTTGTTTTTGTTCTTTTTAGGGTTTGTTTTTTCTTCTTGTTTTTTTCCTTGGAAACAGGCTCTTGTTATGTACCTCTGGCTGTCCTGGAACTCGCTGTGTAGACCAGGCTGGCCTGGAACTCAGAGATCTGCTTGCTTCTGCCTCCCAAATGTTAGGATTAAAGGCATAGCCACTATGCCCAGCTAAAACTCAATTCTTCTTTTTTTTCTTTTTTTAAGTTTGAAGCTGTCACACTGTTGCCCTTATGGTAGTTTCAGGTGCTCAGGCAAGAGGATTGCTTGGGTCGTGCAGTTTAGGGCCAGCCTATACCACATAGGCTCATCCTCATCTCAGTCAGTGATTGAGAGCTACTAGCTACTCTTAGAGAGAACCCAGGTTCCATTCCAAGCACCCACATTGGATAACTCACAACCGTCTTTAACTCCAGTTCCAGTGGATCTAATGGGGCACTGTTAGATAAACTCAGGTTCACATGCATACTCATAAAATCCATCTGCTTATTTGTTTGTTTGTTTTCCCCCAGATAGTTTCTCTATGTAACAGTCCTGGCTGTCCTGGGATTCACTTTGTTAGACTAGTCTGGTCTGGAACTCACAGAGATCCACCTGCCTCTGTCCAGGCTGGTCTTGAAGAACTCTGCAGACACACAAGCTGAGAATTTGTGAGCCTAGTGTTTCAGCCTCCTGAATAGTAATCACCAGCACAGCCTTCAAGTTTTGTTTCTATGTAGATGCATCAATCTCTTGTTTGTGCTTGTTTCTACTACTTTAAGATCAAGATGTAGTTCTAGTAATCTTTGAAAATTTGTCAAATTGACTCATAACTCTGAAATCTGATCTTGTAGATTACCAACTGCTGTAGTACAATGCTATGTTCTTTTTGCACAAACTTTTCATTGCTACCTATGTCTTAAATTAAGGATGTTGTTCATCACCTGTGTTTTTTTGTTTTTTTGTTTTGAGACAAGGTGTCATGTAGTCCAAATGGCCTTGCTCTTGGTATTCAAGGATAACTTTGAACTCCCCTTCCCACCCCTGTCTGTCTTTTAAAGATTATTTATTTAATGTGCATGGGATGGGTATTTGGTCAGCGAGAATATATTTGTACCATGTATGCCTGGTGTTACCGAAGGACAGAAGAGGGCATCAGATCCTCTGGAACTTGAGTGCCAGGCAAGTGTGAACTGTCATGTGGGTCCTGGTGACTGAACCCTGATCCTATGCAAGAGTAGTAAATGCTCTTAACTGCTGAGCCATCTCTCCAACCCTCTAATGGACGTTTGTTTTTGTTTGTTTTGAATTGTTTCACTCTGACTGTTGAAGTTTACATGATCCACCTGCCTCAGTCTCTCCTTATTTGCTGGCATTACAGGAATGAACTGCCATATTTGGGCTCATTTGATTTTCTTGTCTTGATGCATCTGTCTAGTTGAACTGTAATAGTTTGGGGAGTCTTTTAATTTCTCATTAACTAAATAAGGGCAGCATTGTCATTCTAGTTTTTATATCTTTTTCTCTTTGCTATTTCAATGATGTGGAATTTGGATCTTGTTTTTGTGTTTCATATTTTGGAATTGTGTTTAAGTACATTTAAATTTGTGATTATATATTATTTTTATGCCTATTCATGCATTTTGCCTTCATTCTAATTGACCTTTTTTAAGAATTTGCTTAGTGTAAACTTCCTTATCTTTTTAAGCTTACCCTTTTTAGTTCTGTTTATTTAATGTACTTTGTAACAACCAACAGTAGTTTATTTTCTTTTACAGCAATAGATAATCTTTTCACATTTAAGTTTAATCTTTCATGATTTGCTTTAGCTCAAGAAGTGAGTTGGTTCTTTCCCAACTATTTTAGTCTTCAGTCAATAGTAGAAGTCAGATTTCTGGCTTCCATTGTTTGCTTTTGACACCAAACCCCAGTGGGCTGGCTGTTTAGTTCCACATTCTACTAGAGAGATCATTTTGTACTTTATTATACTGCCATGACATACTTACAGTAAATACAATGCGAATTTAACTATGTCAACTTGTTAGTGTTATGGAGTCCACTTGGATCCAACACAACTTAAACACCAAGTCTGCAAAAAACCAAAAATTTATTGTAATCAAGCCACTACTGATGAATCAGGCTGCAGCACAGACTCCGGGAGCTGAGCTGCAACCCCAAGCCAGACTATTACAGAGCTTTTAAGCACAAAAACTATGAACAATTACATTTTCCACCAATCAGCATTCAGGCATTAGGGACTTTCCTAGGAACATATCTCTGGTACACTTATCATCTTCTCATTGTTTGGTTTACTCAAGTATGGCTGGGCAGCTTGCCCACTATTCATGTCTCAACATGCTAACCAGGATGTCAGTGTCAGTCACCTGGGGAGATCTTGGGAACTAAATAAGCTTCATTTGATCCTTATTTAGAATGCAAGTTCTATCCAGAATGGCTTCAGTTTGGTTCCTTCTTACCTTCTTACACTGGGACGTCTTCTGTATCTTTCCCAATACCCATCTTCCCTTGTCTTTTCCCTTCTAGTGATTTACTGAATGAACAAATGCTTAGGAAGCAGGCTGAGTTAGAATCTGCACAGTGCCGGCTCCAACTTCAGGTCCTCGTTGATAAATGCACTAAACTCAACAACCGTGTCAAGGTGAGTTTGTCCAGTTTGTCCTTTCTTTCTTCTCTTTCTTCTTTCTTTTTTGGTGTTTTGAGACAGGGTTTCTCTGTGGCTTTGGAGGCTATCCTGGAACTAGCTCTTGTAGACCGCCTGCCTCTGCATCCCAAGTGCTGGTATTAAAGGCATGTGCCACCAACGCCCAGCCGAGTTTGTCCTTCTAATTCAGAGTTTTTTTTCTAAGTTTTTATTTAGTATTCTGTCTGCATGTTTGGCTGAAGGCCAGAAGAGGGCATCAGTTCTCATTATAGATAGTTGTGAGCCACTGTGTGGTTGCTGGGACTTGAACTTAGGAGCTCTGGAAGAGCCATCTCTTAGCCTTAAATGAGGAAAATTTTAGAATCAGAATTAAAGAGGACAATTTAAGAGGAATCTTTTTTTTTTTTTTTTTTTTTTTTTGGTTTTTCGAGACAGGGTTTCTCTGTGGCTTTGGAGGCTGTCCTGGAACTAGCTCTTGTAGACCAGGCTGGCCTCAACTCACAGAGATCCGCCTGCCTCTGCCTCCCGAGTGTTGGGATTAAAGGCGTGTGCCACCAACGCCCGGCAAGAGGAATCTAAATATTGCTTTGGTTTTTCTCAGTGATAAGACATTTTGCCCAAAACCCATACTTCTATGACTTCCATGAGGGCTTCAGACACAGTACAGTCACTAAGAACTACCAATATTTGATAATTCTCTGCATTCTTTTTATTTCAGTTACTTGGTAAAGTACTCTGAAATTCAGTCCTTTAAGATTCATGGTACATTTTCATGATTGGCAAGAGATCAATATTGGGGACTGGAGAGGTGACTTAGTGGTTAAGAGCACTGACTGCAGAGAACCCAGGTTAAATTCTTGCACCCACATGACAGCTCACAACTGTCTGTAACTCTAGTTCTAGGGTCCCTGACACCTTTACATTCATGCATGCAGGCAAAACATCAATGCATATAAGAAGAATAACATTAAAATAAGAAAAATCATTCTTGAGGGAGAAATAAAAGTGTTCATTTGCAAAGTGTTTTTCCTTGTAGGACTTAGAAACTCTGATGATGCGGCATGAGAAGCAAATTCTACAGAAACAGAAGGGCTCCCAAGCAGTCTGTGGGAACTGCTTATCCTCCAGCCAGAACCAGCACAAATACCACTTCCAAAAGACCTTCTCCATATCTCAGACAGGAAACTGCAGAATCATGGCATACTGTGATGGCTTGAGCTGCCTGGTGGTTTCACAGCCTTCTCCTCAGTCTTCCTTCCTTCCAGGTAACCAATTCAGAACCTCATCGTCTGTGTTCACTATTAGATGCTACTTGCTCCTCTTCCCTCTTGGGCTCAGTGGTGGTTAAACACTGATAACAGGCTATCCACTCTTTTTTCTGTCAGTTCCCTGTTAATTGAATGCAAATGCTTCTGGGTGCTGCAAAGATGCCTTTCATAGTGGCCTTTCATCCCAGAACCTGAGAGGCACAGAGAGATCTCTTTGAGTTCCATGCCAGGCCAGCCTGTTCTACACAGCAAGTTCCAGAACGACAGGACTACAAAAAGAGACCCTGTCTCAGAACGAATAAATAGCTGGGTCTGTTGGCATACGCACTCCTGTAGTCTCAGAAATCAGGGGGTTGAGGTCACTGTGGTCTATGTAGTGAGACCTTACTTCAAACAAACAGAAAGTGCCTCTTTCAGCTACAAATAGTACTTTTATCACTGCACAGGCTATTACCTTCCTTTAAAACAATTCTTTCATGTGTGTTGCTTTTATTCTACAAATCATTTATCAAGAATATAGAAATAGCCTGACGTTGGTGGACTATGCCTTTAATCCCACACTCGGAGGCAGAGGCGGACAGATCTCTCAGCCTGGGCTACAGAGTGAGTGCCAAAGCTACCCAGAGAAACCCTGTCTCCGGAAAAACAAAACAAACAAACAAAAAGAATGTAGAAATAACCAGTAATGTTAACATGAGAAAGGAGATACATAGAAGGAAGTGTAGGTCACTGGTGTAGTCCAGGAGATACATAGAAGGAAGTGTAGGTCACTGGTGTAGTCCAAGGAGAATATTCCCTGTGTATATTATTTACTGTAAAAAAATACATTTGAGTGTTTTGTAAAACTATTCTAGAGGTTAATTCAAATTTAAACAAAATTTAATATTTTGAATTGCAAATAAGAGAATTTCAGAAATATAATAGTCACTTTATTATACATATTAATAGGTAGCTGAAGAGATAACTCAGTGGTCAAGAGCATTTGCTTCACTTTCAGACAAGAAAGTGCTACTCTTTTGGAGTTCCATAGTTAAAGCATAGCACCCACGTTAGGTGGCTCACAACCATATATACCTCCAATTCCAGCTCCACATTCATGTTCATAAACCCACACAGAGACAGACACACATAGATCATGAAGCTGGGACTGGAGAGATGGTTAAGAGCAGTAATGTTCATTAACTTCTCCCCCAGAGGACCTATGTTCAGTTCCCAGCTGAACTCAACCATCATAACCTGTAACTCCAGTTCCAGGGCATCTGGCACCTTTATTCTAGCTTCTGAGGGCATCAGGCATGCATATGGTACACATCTTGCATGTGGGCAAAGCATAAATGCTGGGACCTTTGATCCCAGCATTCGAGGCAGAGACAGGCCTCTGAATTCAAGGCCATCCTGATCTACAGAGCAAGTTCCAGGACAGCCAGGGTACACAGGGAAACTCTGTTTCAAAGTGGGGGAAGGTAATAAGCCTGGGGAGTATTCATTTTCATTACTTGACTGTTTTCTAAGGACTTGGATCCCAAGAAAGGTAAGCAAAGGTGCTGATTACTTTAAAAGATAGTTCAGTTTTTGCCATAATTTACTTTTATGTGCTTTTTTCCAACTCTCTTTTTGGTAGGCTTTGGTGTTAAGATGTTGAGTACTGCCAACATGAAAAGCAGTCAGTATATTCCTATGCATAGCAAGCAGATACGTGGATTAGCTTTTAGCAGTCGATCCAAAGGCCTGCTGCTCTCTGCTTCCTTTGACAACACTATTAAACTGACCAGGTGAGTCAAGAGTAAGATTGGGCCTGGGCCACTGCATCAAATTAGTCTTAGTTCTCCTACTGATCTGAGGCATTGTCTCCTTGTAAAAGTATATAAGCAACAGACACATGCCTTTTATCCCAGTATCCAAGAGGCAAAGGCAGGCAGATCTGAGTTTTAGACATAATAAGTTCCAGGACAGCCAGGGCTAAATAGAGAGACTGTCTCAAAGCAAATAAATAAAATAAAAGTATATAAACTCTGTATGGTGATTGACACCTGTAATCCTAGCACTTGGGATCCTGAGAGGCATGGTGGTTAGCATGTGTTTGAGTCTGGTCTACTCAGCAAGTTCTAGGCCAGCCAGGGCTGCGTAGTGAGACCCTGTCTCCAAACAACAGTAAAGGCAGGGATAAACTAGAGATGTAGTGCAGTGATAGAATGCTTGCCTACCATGCATTAATCCCTAGGTTTGCCACAAAAAGTGTGTGTATTGGGGGGAGGTGCTGTTAGACAGTGTTGTTAATGGCTACTTCTGGGTGGTTGGGTTATAATTTTTCATTTTCCATATATTTTCTGCTTTCTTGTGTTGCTTACTGATTGTGTGACAGTTAACTATAGAGAAGATAATCGATAGAGAAGGGAATGTGGGAATGTATTTCTTGTGCATACCTTTAACTTACCTTTTACTTCATTATAATTCAAGAATTAAGTTTACAGACCAGAAAGCACAAGTGTTTTGGAATTGAGAACAATGCAGTTCCCAGAGAAAATATGAAATCCAGATAGTTTAGGTTGCAGATATGTTCTCAATAAATTATTACTTAAATGTTTTAGTATTAAATAGTATCACCATTGTATGCATGATTTGCTGGTAAAATCTCTTATAACTCCACAGCCTAGAAACAAATACTGTGGTGCAGACTTACAATACTGGACGTCCTGCTTGGAGCTGCTGCTGGTGCCTTGATGAAAACAATTACATCTATGCCGGACTGGCCAATGGTTCAATTCTGATGTATGACCTTCGGAACACAAATGCCTATATACAGGAGTTAGTTCCTCAGAAAGCCAGGTAGGAAAAACTCATTTCTATGTATGTTGATCACAGCATTGTATCAGATTTTTACTACATTAGTTCATTCCTCAGAGTGTCTCAACAGTTGACCAGCAATCTAAGATCTGGTACTTTCATCTCTTCACAATCAATTCAATTTTAGACTTTTAATCCCAGCACTTGGGAGGCAGGCAGATCTCTGTGATTTGGAGTCCAGCCTGATCTACAGAGCAAATTTTAGTACTGTCAGGGCTACACAGAGAAACCCTGTCTTGAAATACCAAAATAAAGTGTTACTGGGCAGTGGTGACGCACGCCTTTAATCCCAGCATTGAGAGGCAGAGGCAGGTGGATCTCTGTGAGTTGGAGACCAAGCCTGGTCTGCTGAGAGAGTTCCAGGACAGGCTCCAAAACAATACAGAGAAACCCTGTCTCAATAAATTAAATAAATAAATAAATAAATAAAGTGTTTAGTATGGTAACTTCTGCATAATTAAATTCATAGGAACATGGCCTATAGAGTGGTGGTGTTTGTGGTAGTATTGTTTGTAAACTTGCAGAAGGGAATTTAGAAAATCTAACCAAAGCCAGACATGGGGGCCAGGGGCACACCATTAATCCCACCCAGCATTCTAGCAGAAGCAGGCTAGTCTCTGAGTTGGAGGCTAGCAAGTTCCAGGATAGCCAGGGATATATAAAAAGAAATCCTTTCTCTTAAAAAAAAAAAAGAAGAGGCCAGGCGTTGGTGGCGCATGCCTTTAATCCCAGCACTCGGGAGGCAGAGGCAGGCGGATCTCTGTAAGTTCGAGACCAGCCTGGACTACCAAGGGAGTTCCAGGACAGCCTCCAAAGCCACAGAGAAACCCTGTCTCGAAAAAAATCAAAAAAAAAAAAAAGAAGAGGAAGAAGAAAAAAGTCTAACCAGTGCTGGTCCCCAGAACTGGGGGGGGTTGGAGCTGACACAGAAGGGTTACTATGAGTTTATGGTGAGAAGTTTAGAAAAATCATCATTTTTTTCCTGAGTTAAAATGTCGTTGCTTTAGTTAACAGCTTTTTTTTGGAACATCTGATGCATGCTGTTGAAAGTAGATATAGAATAATGTTTTCTCCTATGGAGATAGCTAATTGTTTTTAGAGGGTGCTGGAAGATATTCAGTCTTCTGTTTGACTTCTTTTGAGATGGAAATATGGTCTCCTGGTCATGAGTCTGGAGCAGCCAAAGTTTTGGATTTAGAGTGTGTGTCATGGTTTTCTTTTTTGCCTTCAGATGTCCTTTGGTATCCCTGTCCTACTTACCCAGAGCTGCTGTGGCTGCATTTCCTTATGGTGGGGTGCTGGCTGGAACCTTGGAGAATGCCTCCTTCTGGGAGCTAAAGACAGACTTTTCTCATAAGCCTCATGTGCTGTCCTTGGAGCCAGGGGGCTTTGTAGACTTTCAGACAGAGAGTACTACCCGACACTGTCTCGTGACTTACAGGCCTGGTGAGTTCTGAAGCTCTTAGGGACCTGCTGTTTCGGTGGTCGGGGGAGATCTGTACAGGGAAGAAGGCCTTCCCTCGAGTGACTGGTGACCCTCTGTAAGGCTGATAGGCTGGTTGTGGTGCAACTATTAGTCCTACAGTGAAGATGGTGGCTCCCACGCCTTTCTGCCAGGTGCTTCTGGAGTCCATTGCGTTCATTCAGGTCACATCGCCTAAGAAAAGGGCTCAGGTGGAAACAGTCTAATACCAGATCAGGTTTTTATTTGTTCAGTATTTAAGGCCAACAGTTAAGTAAGACTGACAGCCATGGTTTTCTGAGACTATCTAGGCAGCTGAACTTCACTGCCTCCAAATCTAGGGATAGAACTCTGAGTAGCTATTAATTATTCAATTTCTAAGTTTATTTTGTTCTCTCCTTTAAAAAAAAAAACCTGTATTCCTGATGAATGAGCCACGTTGATGGTCAGTTTGCTGAAAGTTTGCCTTTTCAACTTGGTCTTGTGGTCTCAAGAGAATGTCTATGAGTTCTAGGCATTCCAATGTGATTGTGGATCTTTAGTAATGGTTGGTTATGGTGTAACTGTCACAAGATGTGTCTTTGTCCTGACAAACACCAGTAACTAGGTGTCTCTATTACAGGAAATTTGTTTATACTGGAATACACTTTTGTTGTGATTCTTACCTGGTCTGAGGCCAGTTTATTCCTACCTAGACAGCTATTGTCTAAGAGAGCTTCAACCAGTTCAGAAGATAATAGGTTCAGGTGAGACACATAGGCAGCACAACAAAACTCATGAAATAACAAAAGGAAGTTTACTGCTTAAAGCTCCAGGGAAAAGGCTTTGTAGGGCCCTTGGGAACAAGGACTAACCATGGGGGGGGGGGTTCTGTCAGCGGATACAAAGGAAAAGAGGACTTGTAGGACTGTCTTTGTTAAGGCTTATTGACATTGTCCCTTAAACATTCTGGAGTGAGGAGGGAATTGACTAGTGTAAAGAAAACATGAATAGAGGAACTTATTTCTATGACTGATGTCAACCATTGTGCTTTATTTGTGATCAACAATTTTGTAATGTGTTATGCTTTGACTTAGTGAGATAAAGACCAAGTGGAATTTATAGCAAACAACCACTCACAGAGGACATTTTATTTTATTTTATTTTTTTGAGACAGTCCTGCTGAGTGCTCCTGACTCTCTATGGCACCAGCCAACCTCAAACTTGTAGCAGTTGTTTAGCCTCAGCTTCTGAAGTCCTGGAATTACTGAGTGGTTAGTTCATCGTGCCTGGCTAATGGAGAAGCCTCTGTGCACGCTGATTTTAAGTGGGGCCTTAAAATGGGTTCCAGGGGCCGGGCGTTGGTGGCACACACCTTTAATCCCAGCACTTGGGAGGCAGAGGCAGGCGGATCTCTGTGAGTTCGAGGCCAGCCTTATCTACAAGAGCTAGTTCCAGGACAGCCTCCAAAGCCACAGAGAAACCCTGTCTCGAAAAACCAAAAAAAAAAAAAAAAAAAAAAAAATGGGTTCCAGGATAGAGTTTCAAGTTTGTTCAGTTGATCATCAAAGTGCCCATTTGTGAGTGGATCTCATCATTGCACATTTATCTGGGAAACTTTTTCAATTGCTACTCCTGGACTTTTGGCTCTTAAAAAACATGCCATGACTTGCATAGAAAGCTTGGGGCTAGAGAGATGACCCAGTGATTAAGAACACTGACTACTCTTCCAGAGGACCTAGGTTCAATTTCCCAGGACCTGCATGACAGCTCACAACTGTCTGTAACTCCAGTTCTAGGGGACCCAACACCCCACATAAACATACATTCAGGCAAAACACCAATGCACATAAAATAAAAATAAAATTAAAAAGAAAGCAAGCAGCCGGGCAGTGGTGGCACACACCTTTAATCCCAGCACTCAGGAGGCAGAGGCAGGCGGATCTCTGTGAGTTTGAGACCAGCCTGGTCTACAAGAGCTAGTTCCAGGACAGCTCCAAAGCCACAGAGAAACCCTGTCTCAAAAAACTAAGAAAGGAAGCAAGCAAGCAAGCTTGGGTTCCATTTTGTTTCCCAGCTTTTGTCTGTCTCTCAGAAGTACCTTAGCTGTAACTCTTCTTGTTATAGCTCAAGTAGGAAAAATCTGTTGCAGAGAACTGCCTTTATCCTAGCCCAGGCTTCTGAATTCATTGGTGCTGTGTTATATTTGCTTGTAGGTCTTCTGGGTTAAATGCATTTAGCTTTTCTACCCAGCTAGGTTGTAAGTATTTGAGGTTCAGGTACTTGACTTCTGTTGTATCATCTCCATGAGGTAACACCAATTTCTCTATCTCATAGATAAAAGCCATAACACCATACGAACTGTGCTGTTGGAGATGTCTTACAAACTAGATGATGCTGGAGAGCCAGTCTGTTCCTGCCTTCCTGTGCAAACATTCCTTGGGGGACCCACTTGCAAACTATTGACCAAAAGTGCCATCTTCCAAAGCCCAGAGAATGATGGCAGTGTCCTAGTATGTACTGGGGATGAAGCATCAAAGTCGGCCCTGGTGAGCCTGTTTTATATTTAAAAATAGTTTGGGATTTGTGGGTCTTGGGACTTTTCTAGCATATGAGAGGGAGTCAGTCCCAACCACCACCACACCACTCTAAAGGTAATAAGGCAGAGAGCAATACCAGAAGAACCCTGCCCCCACACTCTCCTGTGGTTTCCAAGGAAGTTTACAAGTTGGGAGGCATTCATATAAATACACACACACAAAACTATCACTGGTATATAATGATTACAACATAGGTGTTAAACAGTATGAAGTAATAGCACAATAAAGGGAAGGAAACAGGATTGCTAACATTTTAAAGATTACTTATAACATTTATTGGGAAGTTGACTCATTTGGTAAAATATAAAATGCTTGCCATGAAAACATAAGACCTGAATTCAGATTCCTAGCGTTCATGCAAAAAGCCAAGCAGAGCAGCACAATACCTTGAGAGGTAGAAAATCCCTGAGTTCAAAGCCATCCAGGTCCACATAATGAATTTCAGGCTAGGCAGGGCTGCACAATGAAACATTGTTTCAAGATAAGAGTCTGGTGGTGATTTTTGTACCATTTTTGTTATTTCAATATATTTTTTGAACGATGGTCTTATTGTATACTCACAATATAGACCTTGCTGGCCTAAAACTCAGATCTGCCTTGTTAATGCTAGAGTTAAAGGTATGCCTGGCATGCCTCAGCTTTTAAAAAATTTAGTGCATGACATTAATGGGTGCTACAGTACACAGGTAGAGGTCAGAGAACAGCTTTGCAGACTTGGTTCTCCCACCTTTCCCTGGATCTGGCTCATTAGGTTTGCATAGCAAGTGTCTTTCCCTAAACCACCTCACTGGGCCCTATTTTAGATACTTCACAAGTGTCTTGTAATAAACTGCTCAGAACTTAGGAGCATGTTAGGGTCCTCTTCCAGAGGATCCAAGTTTGATTCCCAACACCTAAATTGGAAGGCTCAGAGTCAGCTGTAGTTCCAGCTCCAGGAGATCCACATTCTTCCACAAGTACCCCACATGGACACACATAATTAAAATAAATAACTGTAAGTTCTATGAGGATAGAGAGAGAGTGGTCTTTTCTCATTGACTCTTCTGTCTCTGCAAAAGACATAATTTAGAAGACTTCTGACACATAGATGAAAGAAATGAGTCCTTAACTTGCTTTTCAAGCCAACTTAGGGTGTGCTAGTTTTATACACTGTTAAGTAAGGTTAGAGACAGTTATTACCCACCTAGACTGACTAACTACTGACCTCTATTTCTGCTTGTATTTTTAAGTTGTGGAATGCTGGCAGTGGCTTGTTGCTGCAGGACCTGAAGACTGATCAACCTGTCTTGGACATTTGCCCATTTGAAGCAAATCAGAACAGCTATTTGGCCACCTTAACTGAGAAGGCTGTCCATTTTTATAAATGGGAGTGAGCATGGTTTTGAGACCTTCCAGACATGCTACTGGTTAATGTTAAGTATTGCATAGTAGCCCTGAACAAGATACCTGTATATAATCTGTAACTAGAACTTTTGGATCATGTGTTCATTTGTGATTCTAGGTCATGGATACACTAAGATTGTGTATACTATTTGAAACAAAAGAGTACCTTTGTGAATCTTGCCTGGAAATCCTTTATTTCAATTCTGCAGGATGTTACAGTCCTCACAACTATTATTTAGGATATGAGTATGCACAGCACTTTGGGACTGTGATTACCAATCAGCCTGAATTGTCTTGGGTAGATAGAATTTGACTTATTTCCAAGTTTGAATGCTCATAACCTTTAGTGACTTGATCTCACCCACACCCCTGGGCTGTCTGCCCCCAGTGTCTGGTACAGCATGTGGTATGTGTTGTGGTAACAACATTTACATTCCAGGAAAATATACATGGTTGCTAGGATGTTGACAAGTCCAGTGATGGAGGTGGTTGATGAGCTAGCTATATATAGAGCCATAGCTACAGCTTGTATACATTAAGGTCATTGCATTGTGGGAGAAAAGGACCAGTTGTGAAAGACTTCGATTTTTCTAGTTAGTGTAGAATCCTCAGGGGTGTTTATTCCCACCAAGCCTGTGCTTAAAGATGTACAAATCCCAGGTAAAGACTTCCCTGTGTGAAATGTTTGATTCTGAGTTCCTTTGATTTGCCTCCCAATTTTTTCTGAAAGTGTTGTTAGTAGTGTGGTTATTCTCAGGAAAGTAGTAGTGCTTAGGCCTGTGGATGACAGAAAGGAAGACATTTAGAAACTTCCATTCTGGTAGTCCTGAGCTGTCCATCATTTAGAGTTATGCTCAGGTTCCATTTGTCTACTTTGCTTTAGGCTACTCCTAACCCACTGCCCCTACGACACCTTGTCTCAAGATATAGACAACATGGCCGATTGTCTCAAATATTTGTTGGTGAGGCATTATCCTTTTTAATAATTGTTCTGTCCTGCCTATCAAACTTGTGAGCTGTTTTGGGGGTCTTTATTACCAGCAAGGTATTTTTAAGGTTAATTTTCCCAGAATTCTAAGTTGTGGCTATATGTATTTAATGGAACCTATTTGAAGATACTTCTTTGGGTGGGTGGGTGGGTGGATGGTTGGTGATTGGTTTTAAATTTAAAGCTTTAAAAATATCAGGTTCCACATCATGGGAAGAAAGCCTCCCTCCCTCCCCCTTTTAAAAGTATCTGCCTAGGCCTGGAGCTTCAGGGACAGGATAGGATTTAAATTAAATAGAACTCAAATAACTTCAGCAGATGGCCACAGAGAAAGCTCTGGGTGTCAGATTGATCTGGGGGCAGGGTTAGGATTTGATTGGCCTTGAAGAATGTTTAACTAAGGCTGACTGGGGAGGTTTACTATCACACAGAAACTAAGTCAATAAATACCAAGCCTTGCCACGTTTTGCATTTCCACAATAAATTTAGATTGCGGTAGGAGGGTGCCAGGGCCTCCCCGCTTGTTTTTTTTTTTTTTTTTTTTTTTTGCTCTAGCACTGAGCTCTATCAGAAATCCAAATCTGTGTTTTGGAAGCAGATTCACATGATAGACTGATTCTCTAAAGAACTCCTTACCCTACCCCCACCCCTACTTGCAAGAAACATCATCTCTAGACCCAGACTCCAATCTTAGCACCAGCAAGATGTTTGTTTTTAAATCTTGTCATAATACATTGGGATTTTTGAATATTTGCTGTGTTTCAATGTTTGTTGTAATGTTAGTAAAATAAAGAATTTGCCATATATAACATCAACGCCAGTGTCTTCTGCTAGTGTCTACTAGAGGGTTTTGAGATCCTATGACCCCACAACTATTCGGAACTACAGTTCCAGGGAATCCAATACCTTCTGACCTCCAAGTGTACCAGGCAAACATGCAATGCACATACATAACATTCAGGCAAAACACAAGTACAAATCTTTCTAAAATTTGAAATGTTGAAAATATAAAAGTTCATTTTGACCCTCCAGGTTTCTATCTCCAGCACGATGTAGGCAAATGTCCTTTTTTTTTTTTTTTTTTTTTTTTTTTTGGTTTTACGAGACAGGGTTTCTCTGTATTGTTTTGGAGACTATTGGTCCAGCCTGGCCTGGAACTCACAGAGATCCGCCTGCCTCTGCCTCCCAAGTGCTGGGATTAAAGGCGTGCGCCACCAACGCCCGGCAGCAAATATCCTTTGTGCTGAAAAACAAAACAGCCATCTGCATTATTGTACAGTAATGGACACTAGGCAGAAATGATGGGGAAGTCCTGTGTATGTCAGTAAAGCCCTGTTGGCCAATAGGGAAGCAAGATAGGTGGGACTAAGAGTTAAGGAGGATTCTGGGAAAGAGAGACACAGGCAGAGTCATGATGTAGCCTCCAGAGAAGTAAAAGGTCTGGACCCTTTCTCTGGTAAGAGAAATACTTAGATTAACAATTATGGGGTAAATGCTTAAGTCAGAGATAGCCAGTAAGAAATAAGCAAACGGCCAACAGCTTTATAATTAATAAAGTGTCTTGTGGGTTATTTGGGGGTTCAGATGGCACTGCAGGGCCCAAGCAGCTGGCAGGGAAGGCTACACTCTACACAGAAAGACTGTTCTGGAGGCTCAGCCGGGGCCACAACTACCATCTGAATTTGGAAATGATGAACATAGAGGGGAAAATAGTATTTCAAAATGGTGGTTGGAGCTTTATCTAAGCAAAGCTCTGTGAGTTGCCAACAATTGGATGAACTTACAATTAAAGTTATAATTAGAAGCATTGGGCATCCTGGCTGCCTAGATTATATAGTAAGAACTTGTCTCAAAAAGTAAAACTAGCCGGGTATTGGTGGCGCACGCCTTTAATCTCAGCACTCCGGAGGCAGAGGCAGGCGGATCTCTGTGAGTTCGAGGCCAGGCTGGTCTACAGAGCGAGTTCCAGGATAGCCTCCAAAGCCACAGAGAAACCCTGTCTTGAAAAACCAAAAAAAAAAAAAAAAAAAAAAAAAAAAAAGTAAAACTATGCTATACCTTCAAACTCTTCTTGATGCTTTATAGACCCTGTCGGCATTAGAGTGGTCTCTTCAGAAGATAGCCGTCAGCTGTGCCAGTAAGGGTGGTATGATGGTGTGATTCAAGTCTTTCTCTTAAATGTGGTCTAAAAACTGGTTGTTCAAAACCAGGTGTGGTAAATGCCCACCTGTAATCCCAGTACTTGGCAGGCAGAGGCAAGAGAATTAAGGAGTTTATGGATTCCTTTATTACATACTGAGTTTGAGGCCAGTCTGGGCTATAAGACACCCTGCCTCAAAAAACAAAACACCCAGTGCCTGCCAAGCTCAAGAACTGCTTGTACCCAGGAACAGTTGGGAAGAAATGACAATGGTCCGGAGAGAAGTAGATTCAGAATCTAAACCTGGTCAAGTTCTGGGACTTGATTTACCCCGTCCATTTCCTCTCATGAAGGGGATGCCCCAGCTGTTATGCACCAGCTGTTAAGATAATGTGAATGTACTTAATATCCCTTCCTCAGTTTCCTTTCTCTTGCAGTGTTAGGGAAAACATCAGATACAAACTTTTGTTTACCTGATGAGAGGAACTACAGCTAGTTGTGGTGGCTCATGCCTACAATTCCAACTCAAGGTGGAGGCAAAATGATCAATTCAAAGTCATCCTTAAGAGTAATCTGGGCTGGAGAGATGGCTCAGAAGTTAGGAGCACTGACTGCTCTTCCAAAGGTCCTGAGTTCAATTGCCAGCAACCACATGGTGGCTCACAACCATCTATAATGAGATCTGGTGCTCTCTTCTGGCCTGAAGACATACATGCAAGCAGAATACTCTATGCATAATAAATAAACAAATCTTAAAAAAAAAAAAAAAGAAGCCGGGCGTTGGTGGCACACGCCTTTAATCTCAGCACTCGGGAGGCAGAGGCAGGCGGATCTCTGTGAGTTCGAGACCAACCTGGACTACCAAGCAAGTTCCAGGACAGCCTCCAAAGCCACAGAGAAACCCTGTCTCGAAAAAACCAAAAAAAAAAAAAAGAGCAACCTGGGCTGTTGGTGGGTGGTGGTAGCATACACCTTTAATCCCAGCATTTAGGAAGCAGAGGCAGGCAGGTCTCTCTGAGTTCAAGACTAGTCTGGTCTACAGAGTAAGTTTTAGGACAGCCAGGGCAATTACACAGAGAAATCCTGGGGGGTGGGGGGGATCTGGGTTGTGACCAGGCATTGGTGGCACACACTTTTTGTTGTTGTTGTTTTGTTTTGTTTTTCGAAACAGGGTTTCTCTTCATTTTGGAGGCTGTCCTGGAACTCACTTGGTAGACTAGGCTGGCTTCGAACTCACAGAGATCTGCCTGCCTCTGCCTCCCGAGTGCTGGAATTAAAGGCATGCGACACCAATGCACGGCGGTGGCACACACTTTTAATCCTAGCACTTGGGAGACAGGCAGGAACATCTCTCTGAGTTTGAGAGCTACCTGCTCTGTGTATTGAGTTACAGGCTAGCCAGGGCTATACAGTGAGACATTCAAAAGCAAAAATTCCCACAGAAACAAGCCAACCCCCACAACAAAACACAAGAATAATACTCACAAAAACATTTTCTAGAAAACATTTTCTTCATGTGTGCAGAATGCAAAGTAGTAATGGATAGCCTTGATCTCACTAGGGACTATTTTAAGATTTATAATGGCTGATCTATTGTAGTTTTGCCCTTTAATCTAGGGCAAGGTCCTTCCTCCCAAGGTGTCTCTCCTACTGGGCTGTGGCTTTCACTTCAAGGGTGTTGCCTTTCTGAAGCCTCAGCTGAAGTGTGGCGTGTTTACCCAAGGTTACTTGTATCTCAGCATGGTTTTAAACCCTAAGGTCAATCAATTTCTTCAGCTTTTAGAGCTGCTGAAAGCTCCATTCAGTTTACTCTCCCAGCTATTGTTTTCAGGGGCATTTGGAGCCTTGCTCTGTGCCTGCCCCCTTAAAAATTAGCCCATGGCTTAGGAGGAATTTGTTCACGGGGTTTAGCTCTTTTATGTGGGTTCCTTCACTTGACATTTATTTGGGGAGGAGGTTGTTGTTTTGTTTTTGTTTGGTTTGGTTGTTGGCAACCATTTGGCAAAAGTGGAGATATTCTAAAGAGACATGTCTCTTCCTTAGGCCATCAGACTTTGCAAACAGTGGACCCTAAGAAATTAGAATTTTACCGGGAGGTAGAGGGAGGAGGATCTCTGTTAGTTCGAGACCAGCCTGGTCTACAAGAGCTAATTCCAGGACAGCCTCCAAAGCCACAGAGAAACCCTGTCTCAAACCCCCCCCCAAAAAAAAAGAAATTAGCAATTTTTCTCGGAATCTCGGGCTGGGAGAACAAAAGGGTACCAGCTAGAGGGGAAACTTGGGGAGTACTTGGTAGGAAGGGCACTTTCACATGGTTCTGACAACTTACCTTAAAAGAGATAGTGAAGTCAAGCGAACAATGGGTCCACACCTTAACCCCCTGACTGCATTGCTTAGCTGTGCATAACGTTAGTGTAAACCTAAATCTCATGTTACCTCTGAAGGAAGATGAACTTGGGGGAATCACTGAACCTCATTATTTCTCTTCCCAAGGTGGCCACATTAAATACACCGAATTTTTCTTTATCACTTGTCTGCTTAATTGGTATCCTGAGAACAGGTATCCATGCCTAACTTATCTTTTGTGGTTTTGTTTTTTGAGATGGGGTTTTGCTAAGTAATTAGTCTTGAGTCAAACTCATCCTCATCCTTCTGAAGGTAAGATTAGAGACATAAATCATCTTGTTCGGTTGTTTTCAGTGAGGCTCTCAACTTCTTCCTGTGTGTTTTTAGCCCAATAAAATGCTATTTCTTTTTTTTTTTTTTTTTCGAGACAGGTTTTCTCTGTATTGTTTTGGAGGCTGTCCTGGAACTCACTCTGTAGACCAGGCTGACCTCGAACTCACAGAGATTCACCTGCCTCTGCCTCCCGAGTGCTGGGACTAAAGGTATGCGCCACCAATGTCTGGCTTAAAAATACTATTTCTGGGCTGGAGGGATAGCTCAGCCGTTAAAGGCTAGGCTCACAACCAAAAATAAAAAAATACTATTTCTGCCGTGGTGTCACATACCTTTAATTCCAGCACTTGGGAGGAAGAGGCAGGCAGATCTGTTGTGATTTCAAGGCCAGCCTGGTCTACAGAGTGAGTTCCAGGACAGCCAGGGCTGCACATAGATTCCCTGTCTCAAAAAACAAAACAAAATACTATTTCCTATATGGACTATCTGCTAATGAACTGTCACAATGTGGAGAATCCACTCAAAATGTACTCCCATTTCTAGTAAGACGTGTAGTCCATTGCCTCCTTCAACTCTAGGGGCTTAGAGCTGACCCCTCCCCAGGTCTCAGACTTTCCCATCTCACCCTCCCATTGCAGCCACCAAGGCCTAGCATTGCCTTGAATCTGCAATCACCCAGCCTTAGCCGGGGTTGCAGACCTGTGCCTTCATACCTAACCCTAGTCCGTCCTTATAAATGCCATTCCTATCTCCTCAGGGTTTTGGATTTAGGTTTTTTTGTTTGTTTGTTTTTTGTTTTGGTTTGTTTTTGTTTGTTTGGTTGGTTGTCCTGGAATTAATTCTGTAGAACAGGTTAGATCTGCCTGCTTCTGTCTCCTAAGTGCTGGGATTAAAAGTGTGTGCCACCACCACCCAGCACTGAATTTGGTTCTTAGCTTCTGTATTTGAAACATTTTAGATCCAGTTCTTTACCATCTTCATGGTGGGGTGGGAGGTATCTTAGCTTAGTTATCATTCAGACAGCCTGTCCCCCACCTCTGTCTGCCTAGTCAGACTACAGCTTTTAATCGATTCTTCATAGCATGTGGACTATTTGAAATTCTTACATAGTTATTACTATTTTTATTTTGGGTTTTGTGACAAGATTTCTTTGTGTAGCCCGAGAGAGTCCTAAAACTCTCCCTATAGACCAGCCTGGCCCTGGACTCAGAAATCTGCTTACTTCTGAGTCCCGGAGTGCTAGAATTCAAGGCTTAAAGGTGTGCACCAACCGCTAAACTCTACTGTTTTTAACAATTTTCAGCTGTCATATTGTTTATCCCTCACATATGAAAGCTCTTCAGCAGTGCTTGGTACATTTAGAAAATGTTCATCAGCAGGTATAGTGGCTTAGTTTGTATCTAGAGTATCTAGAGACCAAGGCCGGTTTGGGCTTTGCAGGGAGACCTAAGCCAGCCTGGTCTCTGTATCATGGCCCTTGTTCCAAAAGTGGTCAACAGTACCTACTGAATAAATAGTCAAACATGGATCTTAAAACAGTATAATGAGTAAAAACTCCTAGTTCAGTCAGAGGTATCTTATTAAGCCTAAGGGGCTGAACCTAGGGCCTTACATGCTAAGCACACACTAAACCATTGAGCTATGTGACCAGGTGCTCTGTGTGTGTGTGTGTGTGTGTGTGTGTGTGTGTGTGTGTGTGTGTGTGTGTGTGTTGGAACTGGCAGTATTTCTCTTGCTCCTCTCTCCAAAGTGCTGGAATCAGTCACCAGCTACCGTGCCTGGCCTGATGCAGTATATTTTATACTGAAAAGTTAATGGGGCCAGAAGACCTTAGTAAAAATCAACCATCTCTCTACTGGTTGTAGTCTGTGCCTTCTGTAAGATCTAGATTTGTGGGTCACAGCCTGAGCTGGCCAGATTCCCAGATTTCTCAGTGTCTTGTTTCTTGGTCACTGAGACTTTAAGATAGATTTATCTTCCTCCCTATCACTAGACACAATCTGTGGCTTGGTGTAGGACTTGTTGAATGCAAGATGAAAGATAGGCACCCACTGCCTTCTCTGAGCAGACTGTTGATCTCTAGCCTTAGACTGGCTTAAAATAATCTCCCACTTGTTATCTGACCCCTTGCAGACCCAGTATTGAAACTTAATGGCCCTTAGTGACCTCAAGGACTTCTGGTGATGTAGCTGTTTGAGACTTAACACATGTCATGTGACTACTATGAAATATATTTATATAGTCTCCCCTGAGCTACTGTAGTCCATGGTTAAGCTTAGGGAGGCCTCCAGATAATTTTGTGGTAGCAACAAGGGCAAGCACTATGGAAATGCCAACATACTTCCATTCCTAGAGACAGAGACGGACCAGCCACACTGAGCAATTTGAACCTACTGGACTGTTCTCAGGGGTTCCTTTTCTGGTGCTTAAGCCCTTATCCAACATCTTCTGATTCTAGTCTACTCTAGACTATCCCCTTTATGGTTTCAGAACAGCAGAAGCTGTAGTTTTTTGTTTTTTGGTGTTTTTTTTTTTTTTTTTTTTTTGAGGCAGGGCCTCACTATGTAACCCAGGCTGGCCTGACACTTGCTGTGTATATCTGACTGGTAACAAACTCACAGAGATCCACCTACTTCAGCCTCCTGAGTGCTGGATTAAAGTCATGCCCCCACCACATCTTTTGTTTGTCTGTTTTGATGTAAAATTTGTATTATTTATATTTGTGTATGGGTGTTTTGCCTGCATGAGTGTTTGTGCACCATGTGCATGCCATGCCCACAGAGGCCACAAGAGGGCTTTAGAGCCCCTGGGACTGCAGGTACAGATGTTTTTGTTTTGTTTTGTTTTATTTTTTTTTGACTCTTATGCGGACGCTGGGGGTCTAATTCCAGTTCTGTGGAAGAGCTGCCTGTACTCTAAACCTCTTAGTTATCTTCCCAGCTTTCCACCCTTTTGTTAAGCTGTATTTTTAAATGTGCTGATCAGTAGAGATTTCATGTCTCAAATTGTCTTCATTTACCACTAACATTCTGAATTGCTAAACGGGATAAAAGTGTCGTGGGAAGGCTAAAGGGGTTCTAGTTGGAAGCTGTCTGCAGACCAGCAAAGTTCATTCTGGGCAGTTCATCTGATCTCTCTCTGTACAGAACCATTAAATCAAAGTTTTTCTCAGTTGGGTTAGAACCTAACCTTTGTGATGCTGGCTTGGGTGACACACTGGATGTGGAGAGGGCTCCCTGAAGTGGGAAGCTCTCAGCCTAAAAATGATTGGACACTAATGTGTAGTGAATCGATGTTCGAGATGTTGCATATAGGTCAGCAAAAATATTTGCTGACACAGGCTTAAACTGTGTCCTCAAAGCCATGTTTTTGCTAATTTCTTTTCATCCTTTAAATATGAGTCTGGTTGGGCTTAGGAGCTTGCAAGAAAGCAGAGGCAGAGGAGACAGTGGCAGATGAGGCAGAGGTAGGTGGATCTCTGTGAGTTGGAGAACAGCCAGGTCTACATAGTGAGTTTCAAGTCAGCCAAGGCAATGTAACAGGAAAAGAAAAAAAGGGTGTGTGTGTGTGTGTGTGTGTGTGTGTGTGTGTGTGTGTGTGTGTGTGTCTAAATTCTGATTCTTAACTAAGATTCCCAGGCAAAGTCCCTCGAAGCTTAATAATATTGACTGTAGCTTTTGGAACTTCATGCTACAGGCCAAGTATTTTCCTTATCTTTTTATTTTTCATTCTTTTATTTATTTTTAAAGCATCATACTTGACCTCAAACTCCTGCCATCACAGGCACATGCCGCCACACCCGGTTTATGCCTTGCAGAAGATCAAACCCGTGACTTTGTGCTTGCTAGGCAAACATTCTCTACCAACTGACCTACATCTCCAGCCCCTCACACTTTGGCTTTACATTTGAGCGATCACCTAGAAAGCCCAAGAGCAAGGATTATGACTTACGTGCACCCTTAACCTTCATTCAATTACCGTCTGGTTCTCTAGTTAAGAAATACAGGTTAGGAAGGTCAGACACAAAATGAGGCGCTCAGATATCGTTATACATTTGAAGTTCATCTCTATACACACAAAGTTTGTCTCGGAACCAGGGAACTATTCCCCCGGCCATCTTGGTTGTGGCAGCCTAAATTCAAACAAGAGAATTAGACCATGGGTGCCCCTACCCAGGTTTTCGAAGCAGCTCCAGCAGCTCCTCCGGGAAGGAAAACCAACTTCCCGCCAGTGGGCTCAGGGTGTGGGACTTTTGCAGCGAATCCTCAACCCTCCCCTGCCGGGGGCTCTGCTGCCTGCTCGGGAGGAGCCACGCCAGCCCACGCCCACGGTCCCGCCTCCTCATTTAAACGCACGTCGCCGGCGGGTGCGTCGAGCTCGCCGCGAACCCAAGATGGCGGTGTGTGGACGTGTACGGAGGATGTTTCGCTTGTCGGCGGCGTTGCAGCTGCTGCTGCTAGCGGCAGCCGGGGCCCAGAATAGCCACGGTCAGGCCCAGGGTCTGGGGGCCAACATTGGATCTTTGCTAGGGCAATCTGAAGGCGGCAGCCCGGCGGGGCAGCAGCTGCTTCAGTTATCGCAGCAGCAGAAGCAGCCGCCTCAGCAGCAGCAGCCTCCTTTCCCGGCGGGCGGGCCCCCAGCCCGGCGGGGCGGAGCGGGGCCCGGTGGGTCTGGCGGAGGCTGGAAGCTGGCGGAGGAAGAGTCCTGCAGGGAAGACGTGACCCGTGTGTGCCCCAAACACACCTGGAGCAACAACCTGGCGGTGCTCGAGTGCTTGCAGGACGTGAGGGAGGTGAGAAGGTGGGACGGGCCTGGGAGGAGGGCCGAGCCTGGTGTGGGCCGGAGGGTGTCGCCGGCCTGGAAGCCGCGGATGCCCGGCTGCAGCTTCCCTCGCTCTTTCCCTACGGGGCTGTGCTCGCGCCTCTCTCTTTTCTGCCCCCCACTCCCGGGTGCATTCGGGCAAGTGGATCCTGCCCCTGTTCCTTCCTTCCTCGACCTTTCGCTCCCTGTCGCGGTGTTCTGGGACCGAGATCTCGGCTCACGGCCTCAGGAGGCGAAGGCCTAGGGAGCGTGTTTCTGTTTGCGCTCCTGTCTTTTGTGTGATGCTCTATGCTGAGTGGCTCCTCGCCGAAAACCAGTTTAGGGTTTTTACTATCAGTTTCGACCTCGACAGTTTGTAACAATGCATTTCAGGGTGAAAAATGGTCGGCATTCTTAAACTGTTAAAGATAGATCTGCAGTTTATTTAGTACTAGGTACTTGGTTAGGTAACCAGGGTTCTCCTCTAGTGTGTATGTACTAGCCAAGAGCCGAATTTACTGTTCTTACCACTTTCCTTGGTAATTGGTAAATCCTTATTTTACCTGGTGCTGAAACTAATTATGCTTTTTTTTTGTCTTCACTTCCTGTGCTCAGTTTGTAAAGGGCCTCATTTCTAGGCTACCCCTTCATGTCGCTTGAAACCTTGAAGCTTGAGAAAGTTGCAGGCAGCATTTGAAGCTATAATAAATATATGGTGTTTGTGATTAGGGTTGTGGGGCCTTTCTGAAGTCTGAATATAGTTTGTTTTGGGGACATCTGCTATGTAGCCCAGGCTGGCTGCCTACTGGAGGCATCTTCTTCTAACTGGATAACTTCAGCTAGTTTGAAATAATTTTAACAATACCTATTAATGAGCTCTACAACTGTTATTGCTTGGTGTGGTTCAGTAAAAGACACTGATGACTTTTCTAGCTATGGTGCTGTAGACATGGGTGCATATTGGTAGAAATACTTCTTTCAAACGTTTAGATAAATAGGATTAGTCCCAAAGGTTGGCATCTGGAAGCCGGTGTTTGGTCATTTCTTTGGAATAGTGTGTCTTTGAGATTGTTCCGGGCCCTGAGGGACCACTGGTTTGCAGACATTTGCCAGTCTTGCTTTATTTAATACTATATCCCTTTTTTTGATGGTGTGCCGTTTGTTTAATCCTGGCACCTGGGAAGCAGAGGCTGACAGATCTTCCTCTGAGTTTGAGGCTAGTCTGGTATAAGTAGAGAGTTCCAGGGCAACATTAAGACAAGTCAGAAGAGGAAAAGACATACAAAATCAAGAGCCAAAGAGTTTTCAGAGCGGCCAGAAATGTGGACTCTTACATGGTTCTCATATATAGCTTGAAGACTAGAAGGTAGATATAGCAAAAAAAAAAATATTATTGTTGTTGTTGTAGACAGGGGTTCTCTGTGTGTAGCTTTGGCCATCCTGGAACTCTTTCTAGACCAGGCTGGTCTGTAACTCATACAGATCTGCCTGCTGGAGTTAAAGGCCTTTGTCGCCACTCAGATATATCCAAAATTTTCAATTCTGTCAAGCTTTTTGGAATTTTCTATTTGATTTTTAAGGATACTTACTAGATGTTGTTCCCTTAAACTAAGATCCTAGTATCAGTCATTAGATGCATTATTACTGATTGTTGTAGAAATAGGATATTAGGAAGAGCACTGAATGGTCTTCTGTCATGGGTGTAAAATTATGTAGAGGTAGAGTCCATCGATAAAGAACAGACTTGTCTAACTCTGTGGCTTTCTTAGATTAGTTTGCACAAAGAAAATTACACTGTAAGACCAAACTAGACTCCCTTAATATAGGTGGCAATGGTGTGACTAGGACAATATATGAGGCCACTGGCAGCGGGTCCAAGATCTAACACTAATGCACAAACTGACTTAGTGGAGCCCATTCTGTATGGAGAAATACCTTGCCCAACCTAGACACAGGGGCGTGGGGGTGGAGAGGTGCCTTGGTCCTGCTAGGAGATGGGACAGACTTAGTCTTCCTAGGGGAGGCCTTACCCTCTCCTTGGAGCAGATGAAAGGAGGGAGACGGGGGTGGGGGGGGGTGGAGAGGGGGGGAGGGGAAGGACAGAGGACAGGACAGGACTGGGGTTGGAATGTAAAAAAGTAAAATTATGCTGGTCTGAAAATATAGTCACTGGTCTACCATTGATTTTAAGATTCCCATTTCCCAGTAAGGATATTTCAGTAAACTCATTTTCTTCTGTCAGGATCAAATATAAACTCTGATGGTTGGTAACTACAATTCATGTTTTCTTTGTGATGTTCTAGAGTACCTATTTCTGAGTACCAGTGCTGGAACTCAGAAGATTTGGTAGAGGATGAGTAAGAAGAAGGGAGTGTTATTTGGGAGGAAGAAGCCAATTTTTGTTTGTTGGTTTGTTTTTCAAGACAGGGTTTCTCTGTATTGCTTTGGAGCCTGTTGTGGCTCATAGGCTGGCCTCCAACTCACAGAGATCCACCTGCCTCTGTCTCCTTAGCGCTGGGATTAAAGGGGTGTACTACCATGCTTAGCTGGGAGACTGATATATTTTAAAGTCTATCCCAGATGTCATTTTATTTACAAGTACTTCAGTGTGTGTCTGTGATACTTAAAAATATTTCTTAATATTGTCTATGAACATCTTAATCTGATAAAAGTTGTGCGTCACTATCTAAACCTTTGTATAGAGTAAATACTTTGTATTTATTTAAGATGGGCTCTTTTACATAATGAGCAAAAGGTAATTTTTTTTTTTTTTTTTTTTGGTGTTTTGAGACAGGGTTTCTCTGTATTGTTTTGGAGCCTGTCCTGGAACTCACTCAGACCAGGCTGGCCTCGAACTCTCAGAGATCCACCTACCTCTGCCTCCTGAGTGCTGGGATTAAAGGTGTATGCCACCAACGCTTGCTTGCAAAAAGTGAAATCTTGGCATCACAGACTTTTTTCTTTTTGAGACAGGATCTTGTTGTGTAGTCCTGGCTGGTCTGGAACTCATTATTTAGATCAGGCTTGCCTAGAACTCAGAGATCTGTCCGCCTCTGCCTCCTGAGTACGAGGATTAAATAGCCACCATCCCTGACTATTAGACACACTTTCAAACTCTGTAGGCGAGCATTTCTTGTTTGTTTGTTGCAGTACTAAGGATTGAACCCAGAGCCTTTATATGCCAGGTACAAATACTGCTGTGCTACATTTCTGGCCCTCCTTTTACTTTCTTTTTCCAGCTTTGAGACAGGGTCTCAATAAAACCAAGGCTGCCCTAGAACTCACTTTATAGCTCTAGTTGGCCTTGAATTTACTTTATAGGTCTTGAGACACCAGACTCATCTGTTAAACTGTTCCTAATCATTCACTTGACTGCATACCTAGATCACACTATCTTTATCTAATTAATACTCTTGCTAGTCTTGTGAGGTGGGTAGTTTTATTTTATTGTCTTAATTGAGAAATAGGCTGCAACAGGTAGTCTTATTGTCAGTGGTGAAGCTGATGTTTATCAAGTCCTCTGCCTGAGAGACCATATAGTTTACAATTCATGTTAGTGTTTGCAGCTAGAAACTAGAATGTAACTGTTGAAGATGCTGCGTGTGTATAAGTAGATACAATGTAGGAAGGGTCATCTAGTACAAGAATCTCTTTTCTTCTATGTCAAAAACAATTGAGTAGCAGCAGCTTCTGTGCACTGAAATAGTGTTGATTTCTTAGGCAGACAAACCAGCAATATCAGATAATTCTAATTTAATTACTGGTGTGGGTCTATCATGAACAGAATTTCTGCGTAATGAATCTAAAATCCCAGCTCACCTGAATCAGGATTTTTATTACTGATGTAGAAGAATTGGTTATATTTTCCTGTTATGTGAATTGGCTCCATAAACAGCACAAAAAGTGAATTGGGCCTTTGGCCAGTACTGCCATTAACTCTATTTATCAATCAGCCAATCAGTCATGTTTGATGTATGTATGTGCTTGCAGCATTGGGTGTCTTTTCCAGCACTTTGCCACCTTTGTCAAAATTTTTTTTCTTTTATACCTACTTATTTTTATTTTATGTAGATGAGTGTTTTCCAGCATATTGGTGCCTGGTACCAACAGAGTTCAGAAGAGGGAATTTGATCCCCTGGAACTAGAGATTTGGATAGTTGTGAGCCATGGAGATCCCTCTAAGAGCAACAAGTGCTCATAGCCTCTGAAGCATCTCTCTAGCCCTATTTGTTTATTTACTTACTTACTTATAGAGACTTTAGCTGGGGTAGGGGTGGTGCATGCCTTTGATCCCAGCACTTGGGAGGCAGAGGCAGGCAGTTCTTTGTGAGTTTGAGGCTAGCCTGGTCTACAGAGTGAGTTTCAGGACAGCCAGAGCTACGCAGAGAAACCCTGTCTCAACCCCTGTCTCTCAGAGGGAAAAAAAGCAATTTTCCTTTAATTCCCAGAACTTGGGAGGTGTAGGCTGGTGGATATTTGTGAGTTCAAGGCCAGACTGGTCTACATTTTTGTTTTTGTTTTTGTTTTGTTTTTCGAGACAGGGTTTCTCTGTATTGTTTTGGAAGCTGTCCGGGAACTCGCTCTGTAGACCAGGCTGGCCTCGAACCCACAGAGATCCGACTGCCTCTGCCTCTCGAGTGCTGGGATTAAAGGTGTGCGCTACCACCGCCCGGCCCAGACTGGTCTACATATTAAGCTCCACATCAACCAAGGTTACATAGTAAGACCCTGTCTCAAACCCCTCCACACCCAAAAATTTATTTTTAATTATGTGTGTCTGTATTTGAATATTTGCTCATGAGTGTATGCCCCAGAAGACCAGAGGCATTGAATCCCCAGATGTGGAATTACAGACAGTTTGTGAGTCACTGGAAGTGGATGCTAGGAACTGAACTGTGGTCTTCTGGAAGAGCATTAAGTGCTCTTAACCAATGAGCCACATCTCTAGCATTCTCCCTTTTTTGTTTTGTTTTGAGACAGGGTCTTATGAAG